AAGTCGGAGCGACGTAGAGAGTGGTGAAGGCAAGGCCAAAGGCTGCACTGTAAGCAACAAAAACATCTTCACATATGGGTTAAATCGGGCTTTTGACCCAGATTGGAGATTTGATGCAGCCATGAATCATCAGCACAGACTGTGACCATGGCAGAGGACGCGTCCAAATCCAAGGGGAAAAAAACAAGTAATAGAGTGAAATTCAGGGAGGACAAGTATCAAACAGTGTTGAGAGAAGAAAGTTAAATAGAGGAGAAAAAGAGGAGGTGATGTTGAGGAGCAAGACAAAAGATGGAGAAATGAGGAGGTGAAGAAGAACTGTGACCCTGCTGACCTTCTCGAACCAGGCTCTCAGCAATCACAGCCACAGTTACATCTCATTAAAACCACCATAGCTTGAGAACCACTGCTTTAGATTTATCTGTCGTAGACTTCATCAGTAAAGTTACTTGGTGTGGAGTTAAGCTGCAACTTGAGGCTAAAATATGAAAAACAGGAAAACTCTAGAAAAAAAACTAGTGAGAGATTCGACTGGGGACTGAGTCCAGTCTGGGCTGGAGCCCTAAAACTGGACTGGACCACAGTTATCTGTCAGGCTGCAGCCCTCCTGGGTCAGATACTGCAACCCAGGTGTACCTGAGGGAGTGACTGACACACACACACACACGCACACAACACACACCTGTAGTGCAGCCTCCTGTCTGGACCACTACTGGCTGCAGCAGCTGCAGCTTCGTCGCTTTGTCGCCTGCGCTTTTCAGCTCGCAGATGTTCCGGTACGTCACGCCGTCGCTGCCGCACACAGGTTCCGAACTGCTGCACATGCACACGCCCGCCGCGCTCCTCTGTCTCACCGTGGACGAGACCTGCACGCCGCCGCTCACCACACACTCCAGACCCTGCGCGCACTCCTGCGCGTCTGCGCCGCCGCAGCGCTCACCCTCCCCGGACGCGCACACCGGGCAGCAGTCGCATCGGTCCAGAGTGTCTCCAGAAAGACAGTCGGCCGGGATCGGAGGACACGAGGACTTGTCACACTTGTGGGGACAGTTGGAGGTGGACCGGCGTCTGTGTGCACGCGCGTGCACCAGCAACAGCATCGAGACGCACAGCAAGGAAAGGAAACGCATGATGGAAAAGTCCAGAACCAGAACCGGGCAGGCTGATGAAGTCCGACAGTGTTCTGAAGTCAGACTCAGAACAGGTCTCTGGTCTGATCCACAGCCTGCAGTTCCAATTTAAAACTGTTCTAAGTCCTGAACCAGAACCTGCATCAAGACTCAGAACTCCTCTTCATCACAGACTCCAGCTCCTCCTGCTTTATTTATAACAGCTGAAGTAACAACACGGCACGGGATTGGTTCGCGTATGTGTGACGTGTTTGACGTGAGAGGGGAAAAGGAGAATAGGGAAGATGATGATGATGACGATGAAGGTGATGGTGATGCCAGTTAGACCTTTTTTCTAACCTCCACATCATTTATTTCAGCAGGTACATTTTGTTTACCAAACTTTTGGTCAGTAAAACTGAAAAATAAATCAATAAAATATCAGCATGTTCTGTCAAAGAACTGGAATTTCCTTCTCAGATTTTCAGCAGAGGGTGAAGGGACTTCATGCACTAGCATTCAAAGTCCAATAACATGGGACAACTGGTCATTTGTGACCCACATCTAACTGCATGTATCCAGAATGTGGGCCACACCTAAACTTTAAAGTCGATCACTTTGGAGATGTTGTTTCAGACCAGTCTTTTCCAGACCTGGTTCTGAACAGACTTGTTTTTTTCTTTTTTGCAGAGACATGTAGGTCTGTGGTTCTGGTGGGAGAACTGAAGCAAACTGCGGTCACGTCAAACTCTTCATCTTGGGTTAGTTTGAACTCGGCCCCAAACTGTAGCAGGACATGAAGAGTCCCAGTTTTATGGGTCTTGTCAGGAGCTTCTGCCTCGTAAAACAAAAACAAAGCTTCAGCTTCTTTTGGTGTCTGTAAATCTGGCTCCTGCAGTGGAAACAGTCGGAGGGTGTTTGAGGTCAGAGAGAATGTTCCAGAAACACTTCTGAAACTCAAACATCCACTCTGTTAAAAAAAAAAACAAACAACAATCAAAAACCATGAGACGTCTCTTTCGGTTTCTCTCCTCACAGCTCACTGGATCTCACAGTGAACTTGAAAGTGGAAACATATGATGTCACACTGACAGTATGACAGTGAACAGTCCACTGGCCAGTGGTCAGCTCTGTTCACTGTGTTTTTGTCAGTTACAAAATGAGTTACAAAATCCAACAGGAAATAATACAAACGTATAAATAAAAATAAAGAACACATGACCCTGTTAAATAAGAACATCATTTCCTTTCCTGATCTTAATCTGTTTGAACATGTGTTGTGTTAGATAACACGGTTACACAACACAGCCTGTGGCGTTTGGACAAACTGTCGAGTCAGCACATAATAAAACTGGGAAAAAAGTGAAATATTAATTTAAGATAGTAAAAGACTTTATTTTTTTAAAGAAGATACAGAAAGTAATGACGTGTGTGTGTGTGTGTGTGTGACATAAATCTCTTAAACCTGATCAGTCCTGGCCCTCGTCCATCTGTCTGTCCGTCCTGTCCCTGCTGTCCCGATGGAACAGTCTACGTTGTCTCTTTGGCAACAAACAGAAAATATATTTGCTCCACATTTGATCAAAACTCCTCCCAGTTCAGTACACGTCTGTAGAAATACACACGTTAGTTAGTTGTCAAACAGGTCATCCAGTCATACAGCAGATCCAACACCGAACGGAACCTGAACGCATCATGACTCAACAAATCTCAAAAATTCTTCATATTTAACTTTAAATATTCTATAATTATTTAAAAGTTGATTCTTTCTTTAAAAGTAGATTTCATATATTTGGAACGAAAACAGAAACAATTATCGTCAGTGCACATTTACCCATGAAATGATGCAAAAATTTAGAAGAAAATAATGACATGATGACACATCCCATTAATGCTGGGCCAGGACACACACACACACACATATATACATATACACTTATATATGTATATATATATATATATATATTTCTACTGACTGGGGCAGTTGTTCTAACTGTAAAAACCATGGGTTGCAATTGGCAGAAGGTCAGTGTCAAAGCTGTGAGGACAAAAATAACAATAACCAAAAGAACGTATAAATAAATAAATGAAACCTTGTATGGTTCTTGTGTGGGATGTAGCTCCAAGTCTGTGGATCAGTAAACCTCCATAATAGCTACATCTGTTTTGAAAAAAATTAGGATAGAGCCCCTGCTGGTCAATAGTGTAACTGCAGCAATTGTTTTCCCAGCAACATGGAAATCACAGCAGAGGGACTCCAACAAAACCCACGTTGGTGTCAGTTTCATGTCAACCAAAATGTCAACATTTTCTCTCATTTAAATTTTAGGCAGAGAAAACACTGTTGGCTACTTCATCAGCAGCAGCCCACATTAGTACACAGTGTTTCCCAACATCTTTGGGCCACAACACATGTGGCATTGGAAAAATCCCATGGCCCAGCACCAAAATAATCATATTTGAATAATGAAACATTATAATCTTCCAGTGTCAGTTTACTCACAATCTACTAACTGAGCCAAGAAGAAGAAGAAGAAGAACTGAAGACGGACCAGGTGATGTGGCTGGACAAAGGACATAAAAAGGAAAAGGTGTTGTTCCATGACGTACCAGATCTGGGCAACAAAAAGAACAAAACTGACAGAGAACAAAGAGGTCGTCGCCCTGGTTTGATACTGCTGTGGTTTTACAACAAACATTCAAACATGTTTTCAGACCAAAACAGAAAAAAAACACGTCTGACTATATTTAAATATAATTTATAATATAATTATTGGTTTGTTGTTTTTGTCTCTAGTGGTGACGTGAGAATCACAGAATATATATATATATATATATGTGTATATATTTATATATATACGTGTATATATTTATATAATCTTGCAATTCTGTTATTGTCCACTACAGCTGGTAAAAAAAATAATTATTGGTTTGTTGTTTTTGTCTCTAGTGGTGACGTTTGAATCACAGAATATATATATATATATATATATATATATATAATATTTTTTATGTGAAACGACACTGTCAAGTACTTCGTTTTACAACAAAACTCCAGAAACCTCAGCTTCAGATCTTCCTCTCTCTCTGACATGACACCATCGTTCTCTGTGGGAGGTTTTTTTTATCAAGACACTTGTCTTGAAGACACAAAGACTTGCAGTTTTGTCCAAAATCCTGATGTTTTTTCCCCCCCAAAGCCAGTGACCTGACATGGCTCCAGTTTGTCCAGAAGTTTTCGTCACATCATCATCATAAAAAACAAGTTATGGACAAAGTGACAAACACGAGGCAACACAACAATTTCATGTCTGAGATAATGTGCAAAATTCAAATCAACCAACCACCTGCGTTCATTTATTTTGTATCATGAATAATCTTAAAATCTTACTGATCTATATGAAGTGTTTTTATCTAAAGACTCCAGTGTGTCCTCGTGGTGAAAGTGTCCACAGCAGTCAGAGACACAATGTCTTTGTGTCTAAAACCTGACGTAAAAAAAAATGGACTGGAAATCATGCAGAGGGAAGTCCCAAAGTCCGGTCATTCTTCTTTGTCCCCGTCCTCGCTGCTACCTGTGGACATCAGAGGACATTTGTTTACTTAAAAACCAGTTCAGTCCTTTTACAAACAGACTATGAACAAGAAAAGCACAGAGTAAAAATGCCTGGCATCATCATTTGTTTTATTACTACTCCATGTGTATCGGCAAGAATCTGGTGATATGATATATACCACCACAGGACAACGAGACAGTATATTGTGACATACTGTGATACTAGAGGCACGGCGATATACTGAGTTTATTTTAACTGCCCACTCATCACTCACCTCCGACTGATTCCACATCAGAGTCAGAGACATGAGTGATGGAAAATCGTGAAACGGTGAATCGCGACATCTTTGTCTCCTGCTTTGCTACTGGAGCTCTGTGGGGGGGGTCCACCATGACATTTTTGGGAGGAGAATCGGACGTCACAGCAGAAGTTGGTAAAGGCAGGAGTGAAAAGTCGTCTTCCCACTCGTATCCTGCACCTGAGAAGGAAGAGAGGGAAGGAGGTGACGTGGCGTGACTTTAACCCGGCGCTGTGAAACTGTGTGGTGTTCTTCGACTTACTCTCTTCTGACACGTTCCCGTCAGATGAGTCATCGGAGGTGTTCAACTTCTCTTTGGAACTGTTTTCTGACCTTTGACCCTCAGTTTCCAAGAGAAAGCAGTTTTCGGTCAGCTCTTGCGTCGGACTTTCCTGGTGACGAAAAAAATAATAAAATAGCTAAACGTCAGATCTGGATTGGTGAGTCATATTTAAAGTTCCACAATCTTCCTTTAAATCACTCACGGCTTTTAGTAGTTTTTACTCACCTGATCGAACAGATAGACGGTGACGTCATCAAAGAAAGACACCGTCTTCTTCAGCGCCTCCTCCTGACTGTCTGCTACCAGTGTGGTCGGCGTCTTGAGGAGGCTGCGGAGTGTGTGGACATGGCTGTCATCGCTCACCACGATAGGCACCAGGTGGCACTCCTCATCGTCCTCGCTCTCCTCCTGTACAGCATACGACTGCAGCTCCTCGTCAGAGTCATCGCTGTCATCAGAGTTGGCACGCTGTTCCTCGTTCCATTCCTCCCCGTTAGCTGAAGGACCTTGACCGTCAGTGACGCCAAGTGGAGGAGGAGGTGTGGATGGAGGTGTAGAGGAGGAAGAGGAAAAGCGCCGAGCGTTGGCGGAGTGCTGCAGAGCCACCTCATCTTTTGGTAAAGCGTGAAGAGTTTCTGCTGAGGTCCGGTGATGACTGCTCCTGGACACAGTCTCCTTTGTTGGTGCTGAGGTTTTACTGGACTCGGCCCTGGCACCTCCTTCCTTCTTTTTTTCTACCTCTGAACTGAGAGAACCTCCTTCATTAAGAGCTCCCAGTGCTTCTTCCATGGCGACCACCACCTCTGCGGCCCAGTCTCCCAGAGAGGACGTCTCCTCCTGGGACGGCCAATCGTCCTCCTCCTCTATTGGAGAAGCAGTTTGGGCAAACTTAGACCCTTCCTCATCCTCAGCCTCTTCGGTCCCTGCTGCTGAGGGCTCTTCGCTCTTTTCCTCATTTTTGTTGTTCATTTGTTCACCTTCCGGTTCTTTAATTTGTTCCTCAGTGACTTCTGATTGCTCTTCTGCTCCTTCATCCTTCAAAACCCTCTCATTCTCGTAGTCAGAAAAGTAGGCGGAATCTCGGTATGGAGTTTTATCACTGAGAGGTAAGAAGATGTGGTCACCTGTCTGGGACACATCTTCATCCAATGACAGAGAAGAATGACTCAGAACTGTGGCATCAACTCCAAGCTTGTCCTCTTCTTCTTCCTCCTCCTGGTTGTTCTCTTTCTTCTGCTCTTCCTCCTCTACTTTCTCCCGTTGTTCCTCCTCACTTACTACCTCTGGCTGATCCTCTTTTTCCTCCTTCTGCTCCTCTTGTGGCTCCTCATGTGGCCCCTGATGTCCTGGATCAGGGGTTGGGGCTCCCTGAGAATCTTCAGTGGTTTCATGAGGCTCCTTGAGCACAAACTCGGGACTCTGGTTGTTTTCGGTGTTGTAGCCACTGTCCAGAGCTTTGGGAGAGCTCGAAGGGTGGGAGGAGCCTGGGCTGAAGCCTTCACAGACTCCAGGTGGTAGATCGATGGAGTCCATGGAGTCAGGAGTTCCGACCTGCTTCTGTAGTGACTTCAAGGCAGGAGAAGCGTTCAGCTCACTGGAGTCGTCGACAAAGATTCCTGAGGTAACGTCAGTGATGTCTTCTGTAATGTCCTCGTCCTCTTCATCGTCACTGCAGTCTAGGATGTCAACCAGACCAGTACTGGAGCTGTCTTGACCCAGCCCACTGTCTCCAGTCTGACTAACCTCTGACTGTGGATCTACAAGAACCATCATAACCTGCACGTTTTCAGCAGGGGGCGCAATCATTTTGTTCATGGTCAGTGTCACGTCCTCCACTTTAGGTTCAGGTGGTTTCTGCATTATTGGATTCTCTTTAATGATGTCTTCCTTTGTTTCTCTAAATCTGGTACTAGCAGGTCCCAGGTCGATGTACTGCTCTCCGTACTCATCAGTTTTTATCACGGTAGTTTTAGGGACATGAGGGCCGCCTGGAGCTGGAGACAGATTGATCATTTCGTCACCGGATGGGACGTCAACCATCTTGTCTTTGACAGGTTTGCTCTGGGTGTAGCTGCTGTTTCTAACTAACAGTCCAGCAAGGGGGTCGACAAAATGTGAGTGGCAGCATTGTCCAGGAGGTGGGGCTGGAGGTTCGTCCTCATGGCACAGGTAGATGTAGGTGGGGAAGTTTTCTGAGGACGGCATGGAGCTGTGTTTGCTCAGATTAAGACAGGCACTGTTGTCCTTAGCATGACGGGGCTCAGGATAGTGGATCGGTCTGGGCAGGGAGTGGTACACCAGGCTGTGGTCCTTAGGCCATGAATCCTCGATGTCTGTACTTGGCATGGTGTAGTGGAAGTCCACGTAGGTGTCCTGTCTGCAGCTGTGGCTCGTCCGTCTGTGCTGACCTTTTCTGCTGTGGTGGTGTTTTGAAGGCCAAGTGTTGCACGTGTGTCTCTCCACAAATACATCCTCCACATCTTCTTCTTCAGACTCACTGTCTCTGTGTCCAATGTACAGCGCCCCCTCTGTCTCCATGTTTATGCTAACAGAGTGGCTGTTGTGCCTTGTGTGGCTCGGCATGGTTTTCCTTAGTGAGCCCATCATGTCGTAGTAGCCTCCAGTCAAGTTCTTCCCAATAATAGAGGTCTGACCGGTGTCCAGATAGGGGTCTCTGTAGGCTAGGTCAGGTGGACTCCCTACAGAGGGCATTAGACCCAATGGGTGTTCCAGTTCACCCAAGGCCTGACGCAAGCTCCTTGAGCCCCAGCTCTCCTGAAGGTGCTCGATGCTCGACTGCTCGTCTCCCATCAGATAAGGATCTACTGCTAAAGGTGGAGAGTTCTCAAAGTAGTAACCGCCGTCTCTGTCTTTGTACGACACGTAGTGGCTCGACTCCCAGGCTCGCAGAGGGCTGTTGTGTGTCACGTGACCTAGAAGTGGTTCCATGGTCAGGGAAATGGCAGGACTGGAGTCACTGGAGTCGTAGATCTCTGACCTGTGGATTTCAGCGGACCAATAGGAGCCCATGTTGGTGGTCGGTAGTGACGGGCAAGACACGCACTCACCAGAGTCTGCACTTCCTGTCAGGAAACTGCCACTACTGCCCTGGTACTCTGGGCTGTAGGAGCCAATGGTGTAGTCAGGATCCATGGGACACCCGACTGGTTCTTCGATGCGGATGTAGTACTCGCTGTTCACTGAGGGGCTGTGGGCACTGAGAACAGGAAGTACACCGGGAGCATGGAGATGTTTTGGTTCGTAGTAGGAAGAAGAGACTCCGTGGCTAAGGCTCTCCAGGGCACAGCTTCCCATAATGCCACCTGGTGGGTAAAACGTGTCCGGACAACGATGGTCTACCTGGCCGAGACTACAAGAGGACTCTGGGGGTCTACAGATCTGCTGTGCTCTGGCTTGCTCCCACTTGTACTCAAAGTTTAAACCTTGGCTGGTTTCTGTGACAGTGAGTACGTCATCCCCAGAGTGGTATCCATCACCAGCTGAAAACTGCTCCAGGAGAGGGAAGGAGGACGAGGACAATGACGGGTGGTCCTGAGACAGAGCAGAAGGTCTGTGGTGGCCAGTGTTGGGACACATTGAATTCCAGCGTCTCTCAAAGTCCTCCTCTGCCTCACTGGCACCTTTGGCACACAGGTAGGTGAGCAGCAGGTGGACCTCCTCCGCAGTGGGTCTCTGCTCTGGCTGCAGCCAACAGAACTGCATGACCTCATACCTGGGGACCAAAGAAGAGACAGGTGAACCAGGTGGGGTTTCTCAGATGACTGGTGTCTGTGGAGTGGTGCTCGTCTTACCAGCGCTCAGCTAACGGTACTCTGAGCAGCGGGATCTTCAGTCTCAGCTGCTGCTCTTTGACTGTGTAGGCGAGGACTTGTCTGTCCGTGTAGTTCCTGTACGGCTGGTTCCCAAACTCAAACAGTTCCCAGATGGTCACGCCCAGAGACCTGAAACACAAACACAGCAAATATAAGACAAATTCTCTAAAAACATGGACTGGTGTTTCCATCAGAGAATCACCGTTGACACCATGACCTGCTCTTTAGTCCGGTCTCAGAATTCAAATCAGATGGTTCTAGATGTGACGTTTACTTTGACTTAAAAACGCTTCCTTTTTAAGGTTTTAATAAAAATCTGATCAAATCAAAAGTCAGGCAGTGATTTTGTTATTGTACTATGGTCAAATCTGTGACATGATGATACTCCAGGAAGATTTTTTTTTTGTTACCAAATGTTGCTCTGAGGTGTGTGTTCAGACACCAGCAGGTTTCCATGCACTTCATCCACAAGTTCTGGAGCGATCCAGCGCAGTGGCACATAGCTCTGGTCTGAGGTCAGGTAATAATCCTCCTGGGACATAAAGGTCAAAGGTCATCTCTGAAAGAGACCCTTTTGGTGCGTCTACTCCAATGGATAATAAAATAAATAAAGTTCTCATGACCACACCTTGTACTTTGTTTGAGACAGACCATAATCTCCAATCTTCACTGAATGGTCGGAGGTCAGCAAACAGTTCCTCAACGCCAGGTCACTGCAGCCAGAGAGAATGATGGGAAAAAAGGGGACGGGATTTAAAGAAGTGTCAGCTTCCTTTAAATCTTTGTCACAGAAATATTGCAGCCAAAAATCTTGATCTACGGTGTAATCCCTGACCTGCTGACCTTTTGACCCATGTCAGAACCATGTGGAAAGAATGATGCCATGATGATGAGGAGTCACCGCCTGCAACAAAATCACTGATGCTGGAGTTTGTGACCACACTCAGGCAGCATCAGGATGTTGTTCCAGGGAGAGACTCAGCACACCCTGCTGCTGCTGCTGCTGCTTCTAATTTAGGTAGAGCTGGTGTTAATAGTCCTGAAGCCGTTGTTGTTGATGCTGTAAATGCTACTGCTGCTGCTAACGTTCTTCCTGTTACCCCTGTGAGTACTGTCCTTGCAGCTGATGCTATTTTTACTGCTGCTGTTGTTGTTAATATTGCAAATGTTGCTGATGCTGCCAAAACTAGTGCCTCTGTTTTAACTATAACTATTGCTGCTGCTAATGCTGCTGCTCCCAGTACTGTTCCTGGGCCTGTTATATATACCAGAAACTTCACCTCCTGCTGCTGCTAATGTTACCTGTGCGTGAAGCCATGCTTGTGCAGGTGTAAAAGTCCCGCAGTGATGTCACAGGCCATCTGCTGGAGAACCAGCGGTTCGGGGGTCACGACCTCTCCTCTCCTGCAGCCTCGAAGGTAACCTTTCACATCACCCTGAACGGAGATACGCCTGTGCGTCACAAATATGACCACTAGAGGGCACCATCAGATAGCTAGATGTACTTTACTGATCCCAGGCTGGGAAATTGCAATTGTCATTTTTATACACTGTCGGGTTCCTGAAGGTTCTTAACTGTGCTTTAAAATGTGTTTTAGCCACAGGGGAAAAGGGTTTAATTTTTAAATAGTTATTTTTAATACACATTAATAAATACATGTCATGTTGACAGACATCAGTGAGATCAAGTCAACTACAGGAATGTGTGAAACATTTGTCTCTCTTTTTACTCACCAGTGGACAGAACTCCATGACCAGCAGGTAAGGAGAGACCTCAGTGCACTGGACCAAACACTGCAGCAGAGCAGGATGCTGCAGAGTACTGCAGTGAACACACACGGATACTCAGGTAAACAAATACAGAACAACAACACTGTGAAATTCAACACCAACTGTTCCCTTAAAAATATATATGTCCAGTTAAAAATAAACTGCAGCAGAGCAGAAGGACAGAGTGGACAAAGACTGGTCCAGTGAAGGTGGTCTCACACAGGAACACCACAGAGAATAATGTCCCTTAAGTAGACCACAAGGTGGCCAACAATGTGGACCACATCTGTAGGCCACATCTCAGGCAAGCCTCAACCATAATTGGTCTCTGAACCTTTAGAAAATACAGGAAGTACTGAACCGTTTTGATTGGTCCAGGATCTGACTACATTTTATTTTATTTTAGCACATGTTGAGACGAGTGAGTGAGGTAAACAGTACCGAAAAGGCCGGGCTTCCTCCAGGAAGTGCATCTGCTCGTGGACACTGGCGCTGGTCTTCAGCTCCTTCACCACCACCTGAGTGGAGGTCAGACCTGGGTTGATTTCACCCAGCAGGACCTTGGACAGTCCAGGGGGGACACATGTATGTTAGGAAGTCATAGACATGGGTTGAAGACCAACACAGAAGGAACAGGGAGTGACCTACCTTACCAAACCAGCCATTTCCAATCTCCTTCAGGTAGAAGAGATTGCGGCGGCCCAGGTCCGTGGGCTGAAGGAGCTGGACTGGAGGACAGAAAAGATCAGCGTTGATGTTTGACCACAGGATTAAAGTCACATTCTGGTCTGTGTTATTACAGCAGCAACAGGAGGATGATGGCGATGATGATGATGATGAGAGGAACCTACAAAGACCATAGATTGAGAACCATCACGCTCCATGGATGAATTGAGGATTAAAAGTCCGCTGTTGTCCATGTTTGTCAAAGCTGAAGACACTGACGCCGTCGTCCTACAGCGTCCACATTTACCACATCTGTCCTGACTGACCTCATCTGTCCGTCTGTCCTCACCATCTATTCCTTCTTTGTTTGTTTCTTCTCCCACACCATTCTGACAGACACTCTGAGGCTTTGTGGTGCTGCGCTGCCCCCTTCTGACCACCACACAGTTTGTTCAGTGTCCTGGGGACATATTGGACGCCCACCGTATTCTTGGTTAAATGGACACCATTGTGCGTCTGTCCAGTGCACCAGTTAGGACCAGTCTGTCCACACAAATCAAAGATCAGACACTGGTCCAGTCAGTGCCAAATAGGATCACCAGAAAAAGAGGCTGATGGTGGCGCTACAGCAACAGTCTATCAGACTGTGAGCTTATGTGTTGACTGAGGCTAACGCTGCATGAACTGCTAACTCACTCACTCTGAACTGATTTAAGATAACGGCACAAAGGCGGTGCAGCTCACTGCTGCCCCCATCAGTGATATATTTGAATGTCCCTGCAGTTTGTTTTACATTAGTTTCTTTTTCCATGGCAGATGCTTTAGCCTGGTACTATTTATTTTCCTTAGAAAAAGAATTGTACCGCGGGAACTCTAGCAAGCACAGGGGGAAAAAACAACTTTTCACCGCAGGACCAGTTGGAGGCGTACCAGGATAAGCAGATGATTTTAAAACAAGAGTTAGAATCAGGACAGAGGGTCGGTACTTTAACAACTGGACACTTTTACCACTAAAAACTTGGTTTCAGTCACTAAAAGCAGATTTCCTCTCTGGACTTTGGTGTGAGAGATTAGTTAGACAGTTCCTTCTGTCCATGTTTTTAAGAATCTAAGATTCTGATCTTGGCTCCAAATTTAACTCCTGTGTTTACCGTGCTGACGTCTCTGGTGTCTTTACGACCAGAACACTGACTCTGTCCATCTGACCGTCTGCTCCTTTTTTAGCCGGGTTTCAGACTAATGGCTCTAGACTAACAGGAAGTCTTAAGTGAGACAAGCAGCAGCTAAATGGAATTCCCATTATCCTGTTTCCATCACAATGCTTCCTGCTCCACCGTCTGCGCTGGTGCTGGGCAGCAGCAGCAGTAGCAGCAGCATCAGCAGCATCAGCAGCATCAGCGTCGTCCTTGGACCATCATTAAAGTTCACTCCTGACCTTGATGCTAACAGTCTCTCCTGAAGGGTGGAGGCTGGGACAAGTTGTTGTTGTTGTTGTTGTTGTTGGGCTGGTACTTATGTTCAGATCTGTCTGTCTGGTCATTACAGGTCCAGCAGTAGGCCGCCACTGGTCAACGCTGAGCATAGATGTTGTTCACACTGTGAACGAGGTGTGGGCCACACAGATTTGTAAAATATTGGACCACCAATCTAAATACAAAATTGCCCACACGTGACATTTAACCCACCTTTTTGTCCCTAGATGACCATACAAAACACATTTGTATGGTCTACATTCAGTATATGGTCCATGTGGTACAGAGAAACAAAAAGCACCCATATATTTGTCAGACAACGTGGGATTTGGGCTGGATTAACAGATTTGGTCATTTAATCCATTCTATTCTAGAAGTGGATTTTGTCCACATTCTTGACACCAGATGTGGGCCATGTTCACCTGTCTACATGGGCCAAGTGAGAGAAGGTAGGAGGTGAGAATGCTTAAACTGGACAAAGGTGTGGAAATCAGGGTCCTGACAAGAATAGATGCACAGACCTTTGTGTGTGTGTGTGTGTGTGTGTGTGCGTGAGAGAGAGAGAGAGAGAGAGAGCGAGCGAGCGAGCTTATCCCAGCTGTATTAGGGTGTATCTGGGCTGGGGACTGGGCCCTGGACCAGGTTCTCCACTGGTCCCAGTGCTCCACCTCAGCAGAATGACTTGGAGATGAGAACATTTGCTGAACAGCCACCAGACGTTCTTCATCTCCCTCTGCTTTCAGGAATTCTTAAATATCCAAGAAAAAAAAAAAATCCCCAAATCTCCTTCATCTCTTCCTGTCTGTGGAGGAGGAGAGGAGGATGAAGATGGATGTGGTTCATCATGATGATGATGATGATGATGATGATGTCGCATGGTGAGGCTCTGACCGCTGGTGCTTTTCATTATTCACAGAAGAACTCCAGTCTGTTAACACTCAGCTCGTTAAACACAAGACTCTGATTGGCCGAGGTGCTTTTCAACAGAGTTCTCTGTTTCTGGATCTATATGCTGCAGATTTAATTGTTCCAAAAGACCCTCAGGTGCACTACATCACTACATCACTGCATTATTACATCACTAGATTACTACATCACTGCATCACTACATCACTACATCACTACATCACTGCATTACTACATCACTACATTACTACATCACTACATCACTACATCACTACATCACTACATCACTGCATTATTACATCACTAGATTACTACATCACTGCATCACTACATTACTGCATCACTACATTACTGCATCACTGCAAAACTGCATCACTACATCACTGCATTACTACATCACTGCATTGCTACATCACTGCATTACTACATCACTGCATCACTGCATTACTACATCACTGCATCACTACATCACTGCATTACTACATCACTACATCACTACATCACTGCATTACTACATCACTACATCACTACATCACTACATCACTGCATCACTACATCACTGCATCACTACATCACTGCATCACTACATCACTACATCACTACATCACTGCATTACTACATCACTGCATTGCTACATCACTGCATCACTGCATTACTACATCACTGCATTGCTACATCACTGCATTACTACATCACTGCATTACTTCATCACTACATCACTACATCACTACATCACTACATCACTGCATTATTACATCACTAGATTACTACATCACTGCATCACTACATCACTACATCACTACATCACTACATCACTACATCACTACATCACTACATCACTACATCACTGCATCACTACATCACTGCATTACTACATCACTACATCACTGCATTACTACATCACTGCATTACTACATCACTGCATCACTACAATCACTACATTACTGCATCACTGCAAAACTGCATCACTACATCACTGCATTACTACATCACTGCATCACTGCATCACTGCATTACTACATCACTGCATTACTACATCACTGCATCACTGCATTACTACATCACTGCATCACTGCATCACTGCATTACTACATCACTGCATTACTACATCACTGCATCACTGCATCACTGCATTACTACATCACTGCATCACTGCATTACTACATCACTGCATCACTGCATCACTGCATTACTACATCACTGCATTACTGCATCACTGTGACTATAATTCCAATTTCATACAAATTAATAATTATTAATAAAATGAATTAGTGCAGAACTAAGGTCTTTTCTTTTAAAGGGTCAAAGTTAAAGGGGCAGTGGTGGCTTAGTGGTTAAGGAGTGGGACTTGAGTCCACCAGCTGCCCAGTTACCACTGAGGTGCTCTGATCATGGCACCGTCCCACACTGCTCCCCTTAAAGCTGCCCACTGTTCACTTTGGTGATGGGTTAAAAACAGAGCTCACATTTGGCTGTGTGCAGTGATGTATGTCACAATGACAAGGAGTTCACTTTCCTTTCCTTTCCTTAATCAATTGTATTGGTTTTTTGGACCTTACACATTTAACGCCTGAATATGTTTTAATTTACCAACACAAAAGTTCATAAAGCAAAATAATTAACTACCATTGGAACAAAGCCAAACGTTGGGATATACATGAACTTTATACATTCACACATCCATTCATATGAGGTTAGCTCTGAACCTGCCTGTCAGCTACAGTTAGGACAGAGGTTCTCAATTATTTTCTGTTTTGCCCCCCCCCTGGGGACAGAAATGTTTTCACGCCCCTCCCCACGACCCACACCACTGCGAATTGTAACGCTATTGAGAACCTGATAACCTGTATATTTTTATCTGTACAAACCACTGAATGAGTTGCTGCCCCCTAGTGACTGGAGGCTTGTTATCATTCAAGAATTACAGCAATGGTACACTTATGTCCAGAGTGCCATATTCCATAGAAGGCCCCTCACGCCACCCCCGGCACCTCACCGTGCCCCCCAGGGGGGCCCGCCCCACCATTTGAGAAGCACTGAGTTAGGACAACAACAGGAAAAACTGTGAGAGCACACAGTGAAGAACCGTCATCTAAAATCCCAGCACTTCAAAAAATAATAAATCTGTTGTTTTCAAACATTTCTGTTTGACAAAAGAGAACGCTTTTTCTTAACTGTGGGAAAGTGAGAGCCTCATAAACTTCCACTTCCTGTTGAGACAGAGCGCTGCAGCAGATTCTTCAGAGACTTCATCTGACGACATTCATCAAACGGCTCTTTTTTTCTGCTCAGTCTTTTATTCCTCACATGAAAAAACCCACCATTGTCCCTTTAAGTTGATGGAGTGGACAGGGTCTCAGACACAGAGGGTCTTTCTCTGACATGCCTCGCATACCGACGCCTGGATGCTGTTACGCAACATGCAGATGTGTGTGTGGGAGAGTGAACAGAGAGCAGCACTGAGGGATTGTGGGATAGGTGGAGGCCCAGCTGTTCTGAGGCCAGTGTCAGGGCGGAGCTCACTCCAGGGATGGAGAGTGTTTTTCACTCTGATCATCATAGAGTGACAGTAGTTCTGGTCCAGAGCTACACATAAAAACAGTGTGTTTCTCAGTGTGACTCACCTGACGGTGCAGGCTGCACGGCCAGAGGCAGCGACACCTCAGTGAGGGGCAGGACGTAGACGTCGCCGTTGCCTGACGCCGGCGACGCCATTGTGGACATGTCACCGCTGTCAACATTTTTGAATTCCTAAAAAAAAAAGCAAAAAAAAAAAAAAAAGAATAAGTTTGACAAACAAGCAGCAGGGGAAGAAGAACGGCAGAAATATGGAACCTGGGGGGAGGCAGGGGGGTGAGGAGAGCAAAGTGGAAGGAGATAGAGAAGAAGAAAGGGTGAGACAATGATGATGGGAGACGTGAAGTTTCCAGGAGGAGGAAGAGGGTGAGGAAGTGAGTGAAAGTGTGGGGAGAGGAGAAGGTGAGAAGGTGGGGGAGGGTTGGAAATTTGCAGTAAGATGATGAAGAGGGTGAGTAAGACTTGAGAGTGATTAAATAGGGTGAGGACAACAATTCAGATGATGTGGGGTGAGTATGATAATTGACTGAGAGGGTGAGAAGGGTGAGATTGAGCAGTGAGAGAGTAAAGAGAGAGAGAAAGGTGAAGGGTGAGGAGGTCAAAAAGGTGAAGCCATTCAGAGAGTGAGTACAGGGAGAACGTATGTGAGGTGAGAGAGTTGAGGAGTTCAAGAAGAGAGTAAGGTGGGAGACAAGATGAGAGAGATGGTGACACCTCTGGAGAAAAGGGTGAGGGTGAGGAAGGTAAAGCAGATGTTTAGGAGGGTTTAGGGATTGAGGGAGTAAAAGGATGAGAGGGTGAGGCGGGTGAGAATATAAAGGAACACGAGGAAGGAGAGAAAGGTGAGAATAAGAGTGAGAAGGTAAGAAAATGAGGCAGGGTGAGGAGGATGGGGGATGAAAAAGGTTTGAGGAGGGGAAGGTGGGGGGGCAGCTGTCTGTGCAGAGCGGATGTGAGAAGAAAAGTCTCTTTGGTTCAGAGCTGGACACACACGCACGCACACACACACACACACACACACACACTTTAGACACAAATCTGTGAATTTAATGTTAAACAGAAAAAATATAACAGAAAGAAAATAAAACTTTGATAAAATACAAAGTTTGATGATGAAACTGTTTCAAACATTTATATATAAATGAATAAAAAAGTAAAGAGTCTTACCTTCAATTACACACACACGCACACACACACACTCTCTCTCTCTCTCTTCCTCTCTGCAGATAGTCAGATGTTCGAGTCCAGAGAAGAGGAAGAGGAGGAAGAATCTGTGACTCTCTAACTCAAACTGCTGCAGATGAAGGAGTGAGGGGAGAGGAAATAGAAAGGAGGAGGGTGGGGCCTGCTAAGGGGGATGTTAGTGGGGATGGGGTGAGGGACGAAGGAGAGAGAGGAAGAGGAGGGGTCCATGGGGGACGACGTCCTCGACCTCTAGGTTGTCCCAGGAGGAAGAGCAGAAAAACAGGGCTGCTGTGAGAGGGTGAGGAAGAGGAGGAGCGGGTGAGGGGTTACACATAGTCTTCATGTGACATCACTCTCTCTCTCTCTCTCTCTCTCTCTCGTTGTCTTCCTCTCTCTGTTCCTCATCTGTGTCCAGATCTGTTCAGAAACTGTGGACGTGTAATGACAAACATGGAACTGCTGAGACTCTGAGACTCAGTCTCACTGTTGGGGATGAGAGTGAAGGGTGAGGATGGTCAGGGAGGTGACTCAGTGAAGGGGGTGACCTGGATACTGATGGGGGGGTGTAGTGATTGCTCTAAGAAGGGTGATGCACAGGGTGAGAAAGCGTGTGGGAAGATTAAAAGGTGTTGTGACATCACCAAATTATTATTATTATTATTATTATTATTATTATTATTACATTGTGGAAGTCTACAAAGAACATGCAGGAAATCAAGGCTCAGTATTATTCCTCCATTTTGCCCCTTGGGGGCAGTGTGTGTATATTTATGCTTATACATACATATATACATATTCACATACTGTATGTATATAAAATGGCTGTCACACAATAAAATGTTTAATTCAATAATTAATAGTGTTCCAGTTGTGTGGAAAATTAACGTAAGAGTAAATTTTGTAGCAGTGGTCCTTGATCTAGTGGTCAGAGAGTTAGTCTTCTAAGTGAAAGGTCGCAAGCTGTTTTTCTTTTTCTTTTTGCACTTCTGCTGACATATACGAGGCCAACCGATTGCGATTGACAATCGTCATGACAGACATAAACGCAACATTCACGCTGTGCAATAGTAAACTTAGCTTTAGCCTTAGATGCACAGATTTAATTGCGAAATAATTAAAGGTTGAGACGTGTTTTTGAATTGTTATATATAATAATTATAGTTATTTTATTTTTGAATTTGCTTTTCTTCTTTTGAAAGATATCTATTTTATTCACGTTCCACATGGGTAGTTTATCGTAGGGACACTTTTTATGATGAAATCTTGTTTTGGCGGGAACATTTGAGCCACCGGAGAACGAGTCACAACCTATTGGCCGGACCTTGCTTTTGGCTGAGCTAAATCGAACAACCGACCGCATTTCTTAAAACGATTTCAGCATAAAGTGTGTCCCTACGCTAAACTGCCTTTGTGGAAATGAACAAAATATACGTCTCAACCTTTAATCATTATTTTCCTACTGTTTAAAATCGGTGTGTCTAAAGCTAAAGCTAAGTTCGCTACTGCACAGTGTGAATGCTTTGTATGCTCGTTTGGGTCAGCAGAGGGCGACAAAGTACACAAATAAAAATAAAACCTTATTTAGTTAATTTTCAGGAATGATGTTTATGAATGTTTTATCAGTGTCAGGCAGAAGTGAGTTGTTCTCCACGGTCACAGTCTTCCCCCCCAACTCTCTCTCTCACTCACTCGCTCTCTTTTTTTTCTGTGATCTCTTTTTTCTCTCTCAAAAATTCCCCAAAATTCCTGCTCTGAGAAAAAGGCTGTGTCTAATTCCACATGAGACTTCGGGGCCGGAAACACTGAGGACTCATGGGTCTGACCTTCCTCAGACTATTTATGTCTCCGAGTGTCTCTGTCTCTATCTATCTGTTTGACTCTTTATGTCTCTCTAAGTCTCTGCCCTGTCCTGTCCTGACTAGATGCTGATGGGGACAGAGAAGGACGGACAGAGAGACAGACATGGTCATGAAGACAGGGACAGACCTTGAATCTGATCCTCCTCCTCCTCCTACAGCACAGACAGGCCAACATGAGGAGAACGAAGGTGAAGAGTCCTGAGAAAGACACGCCCACCACCACCAGAGATGTGGACCAGGAGAGTTCAGTCAGCGGAGCGCCATCTGCAGGACAGCAGGAGGACAGAAACAATAAGAGAGCTGGAACTGTTTGCATTTGGACGTGTTGGTGTCTGATTCATGGCTCTGCTGCAGTGACCCACTTCACACAGAGAAACCAGAACAACACTGAACAGTCAGCACTGGCTCCTCACTGGTACTGGTACTGGTACTGGTACTGATTCTGACCAACTAATACAGATACCATCTTTGATCCAAATGGGACAAATTTCAGATACGTCTAGTACTTTTTGTGTAACTGTAGAACTGTTGATGGCCCAAAAGGAGCAGAACTAATTAAAACCAAGAGGTCCTGGTACTGCATCTTACCTCACTGATACTGGTACTGCTTCTGATTTGAGTTCTTCTAGTACTGTTTTCAAATATAACTGATTTCAGTACTGCATCTGATATACTGCAGATATTTGGGACTTACTGCTGACCCAATAAGAAATGGGACAGCATGTGACCCAGCCGGTACTGGTACTGTTTCTCATCTAGAAGAATACGTGTGTTGGTACTTTTTTATCCAACAGAGACTAAAGACTTCAACTGAACAAAGAAAACGCATCAGCACCTGTCAAATACACTGGAACCAATGTCACTAAATGTTCTGGTGTCTGACAGAACCTGTCAAATGTGCTGGGACCATTTCTGTACCTGCAGAACTAAAGGTACTCGTCATCTGTGCTGGTTTGTTTTTGCTGCGTCAGGTTTATTTAAGGCATCTTTTCTGCAAGGACTAAAACAGAACTCAGCACCGTTTGAAATATTAATCAGAGACAATGTTTTCTTTTTGCCGTGATAAGGATGAAGATGATGATGATGATGGTTAAGACAAAAACGGTGATGAAGATGACGATGATGAAGGTCAAGATGAAGATATTTAATCACAGAAGCCCTCTTGCTCTGAGCCCTTGTGTGGTTACCATGGAAACTGTTTTAGTATATGGGTCTAGTTGCCTTCTGTGTGTGTGTGTGTGTGTGTGTGTGTGTGTTATTGTCAGGAACATGATGTATTTGAAGAGCTCTTGTCAGAAAATGGCGTCCAGATTTAGCAGGAAACATGTAGCTGTTTTATATAAGTGATGATGATGAAGATGAAGATGTCAGCAACTTCTAAATAAAACATTTCACATCCCGAGAATTCTCAGCTTAAAAAATGTGTGAGGCAGCATTTCTGGGTTTTTTTTGTTAACAATAGCTTGTGTGTTTCATGTCAAAGAACCACATCTGGGATGTGGCTCATGAACGTGGACCACATGTGCTGCCATTAATGAAACACGTCTGGTCGACACCTTATAGATCCACACCGGATCCAGGAATATGGACCAGATTTCATGAAAACTTTCTGGGATCTTACCCCACAATAGCAACACCTGATTTGGGCCACATTACATCAGATGTAGGCCGCTCCAGGCCAGCAAACAATGACTTTATCTGGGTTATGTGGTCTGGTCAATGTAAATTATAAGGAAATTCCATTTGTTCAACAGAAGACAATGAGGACAATGCGGACAACAGGAGACATAAAGTCCAGCGTTTGGCCTATGTGGACCAGATACTCAAAAGCAGATCAACACCAAAAAGAGTCAAAGAAGGGACAAAAAACCAAAAGACCCTAACCTTTAAAAAAATAGAATTAGTTATCTGACCCACCATCCAGAATATGGGCCACATCTACAGCAATTTTAAGCCATAGCTTTAGCTGGTGTTGGTTGCCCATATTGTAAATACTTAGTCTAGAACTAGATTAGATGAGACTAGATTTATTTTTTTACCCAAAAGATAAACGTGACAGAATCTCAGCCAACAGAACCTGTCACACTATCACCCAAGACCCAGATGCTCAAAAGCACTTGTACCTCTTGGACCCAACAGAACCGATTATATGTACTGGTACACATGTACCTGTGTTTTTGTTTTACCAGTTTTTGTTGAACTGGTAAAAGTCTTTTTCTAAAGTAAGGGTTCTACTCTGGTTCGGACTCCCTGAAGGTCTGTAACATCTGGCCTAAATATGATGTCTAAACGGTACCAGTGGTAAACACCTGCTGGACACCTGTTTTGCTCACACAGCATAAAAATATAAATAAATCAGTCCCGCTCCACTCATCAGTTCTGTTCCTCTGTAATCCGTCCATAATCCCATCACTCTTGGTTCCGTTCCCTTCTGCACAGACTGCACCTTTAAACTGCACAGCAACAGAACCAGGGAGTTTAATTCCGATTTGATCAAATCAAAGCTGCAGATGACGGAGGTGACGTCACTAACGTAGAATCAAAACCCCTTCATGTAAAGGACACGGTATTACGAAAATACAAATGAATGAATCATTCCGGTGTGCAGATGACGGGATGTCAGCAGAGGAATTCGGTCTCACCTGGGCTGAAGGGAGAAGTGAGGTCGAGGCAGCAGCTGGAAACAGAGAGGAAGAGGAGGAGCAGCATCTTCATCATCGACTGAGAGGAAATATAAAACAAATTAAAGCCAGGATGAACTGAAGCCCGGACTCATGTTTCCTTTATGACTTCTTCATGTCTCCTTTCCTTTCTCGTCTCCCGCTCACAGGCTCTCATCCTCATCGTCATGAAGAGGAGAAAGATGAGGATGAAGAGTCTCCGTTTCAATCCTCTGAATCTTCAAATGGTCCACAGATGATCCTTCACATCATCCTCGTCCACAGTCTCTGGGCTCGGTCACGTGATGCCGATGAAAACAAGAAATCAAGCGTTGTCGGAAGGATGTGCCCGGGAGCTGTCCGTGGTGCTGACAGCGAGAGCGCCATCTTGTTCGGTAATAAGCTCAAATAGATTTTTCTTTTCGTCTGCAGGGGGAGGAGGGAGGAGGAGTGGGAGTCTAAGGGGGGGAGGAGGAGTGGGAGTCTAAGGGGGGGAGGAGGAGTGGGAGTCTAAGGGGGGGAGGAGGAGTGGGAGTCTAAGGGGGGGAGGAGGAGTGGGAGTCTAAGGGGGGGAGGAGGAGTGGGAGTCTAAGGGGGGGAGGAGGAGTGGGAGTCTAAGGGTGGGAGGAGTAGGAGGTACAGAAGGAGAAGCAGAAGAAGAGAGGGAAGATTTAACCTCACTTCCAGGAAGATCCAGATGTTTTGAGTGTCTTTAGTCCGTGTTCCGTCCACCGGTCTGGGAATTCCAGGGACTCCGAACTCCAGACCTCGGGCCGTGGTTTAGAGCTGGACAACTCCGGAACAGTGACTGCCACCTCTGCCCTGTGGTAGGCGCTACAGGAACACTTCTGTCCTCACTTCAGCAGTTTGGTCCGCACCAAATAAACACGGTCTGAATTCAGATTAAAGTATGGCATGGGTCGGGGCGTGTCGGGGTCCGGGTGTGTCTATTTTTCAGCTAGGGCTGTTGTGAGGACTGTATCTGTATCTGGACTGGTCTAGTCTGGACATGGACCATGAATGAGGGCTGAAAACTCTGACAAAGCAGAACCTGGTTCTGGTTCTGTGTCTCTGTGATGTTCGAGCATCAGAACCTGAGATGGAGACAAACATTTATTGACTGACATGAAGACACGTTCATGGACCGAGACACAGACAGGACTGAGACACAGACAACAGGAAAGACAGATCCGCGGCGGAACGCTGAAAACTGCTAGTGCATCGCCTTAAAACTACCACTAAGGGGCAGCATTGAGTCATGTTTCACGCCTGAATGAATTCCGTCTGAAACAGAATCTAATCCGTAATCTTAGTTTCACGAAGTACTGACACATACCACTCACATGATGACATATATAAATGTATTTTCAGTTAAAGTGTTTTAATGAGTTCGTCGTCAAAGGATGTAAACTTACATCTGAAAAGAAAATCGTAATTAATTCAAACATTAGTTTCTATTGATGCTGTTCTTACAAGAAACCATCAGTTCATTAATGTTTTTATTTACAGCAAAATATATAAAATATGTATAAAATAGATATATTATTGCCTCAATATACACATAAATAATATATAAATCACAACACAATTATTATTATTATATTTTTTTAACACTTTCATTACGATTGCGCCGACTCCCCAGGAAGGAAAATGACTCTCCTCCACTAAGGGAGTGTCAACATCTTTACATTTTAAATGCTATCAGTGAAAACATTAATTATTTTTCTGTTCCTAAAATAAAAAATTAAATGACTCAATCAACGATTCAAGTACGATTCAACGGTTCAAGACTACGATAAGATTTGTTTTATTCTATCTAAGATCTGTTTTGAAGTCACTCACAGTTAAAGCTCAGAATAAACTGCATGAAAGAAAGAAAAAAACATGAAGCAGAACTGAAACTTCTTTATATTTAGAAAAAAAAAATCAGCCTGAATTACAGACAATGGTACAAAGAAAATACAAAGATTAAAGTTGAGCTGAAGACCAGCGACCTTTAACCTTTCAGTGTTAGAGAGCAGGCTGTGGTGAAGGAGCACAACAGGCCCACTGACACTGACACTACACTACTACTACTGACACTACGTTAAAGTGTTTCAAACAAAGACACACACACACACACACACACACAAAAACAATGAAAACAAACCAAAACAAACCAAAAAAAAGGCCTGAACGTTTGGAATCATCAACTCCAATGATTCACAGTGACAAAAGCAGGAAGTCAACTCACACAGAACATTAGCAACAGTAAAAATAGTAAGGCACACGCACTCACTCTCTCTCTCTCTCCCTCTCACTCACACACACAAACACACACACACACAAAACCAATGAAAACAAACCAAAACAAACCAAAAAAAAGGCCTGAACGTTTGGAATCATCAACTCCAATGATTCACAGTGACAAAAGCAGGAAGTCAACTCACACAGAACATTAGCAACAGTAAAAATAGAAAGGCACACGCTCTCTCTCTCTCTCACACACACACACACAAAACCAATGAAAACAAACCAAAACAAACCAAAAAAAAGGCCTGAACGTTTGGAATCATCAACTCCAATGATTCACAGTGACAAAAGCAGGAAGTCAACTCACACAGAACATTAGCAACAGTAAAAATAGAAAGGCACACGCTCTCTCTCTCTCTCTCTTTCTCTCTCTCTCTCTTTCTCTCTCTCTCTCTCCCTCTCTCACACACACACACACACACAAAACCAATGAAAACAAACCAAAACAAACAAAAAAAAAGGCCTGAACGTTTGGAATCATCAACTCCAATGATTCACAGTGACAAAAGCAGGAAGTCAACTCACACAGAACATTAGCAACAGTAAAAATAGAAAGGCACACGCTCTCTCTCTCTCTCCCTCTCTCTCTCCCACACACACACACACAGCAGGGCTATTGGGTAAATGTCAGGGCAGCTCTAACCCTCCATTTCAGGCGGAGTCACAGGATATTTTAAGGAAGTGGTTTTAAACTGAGCTGCAGTCAAATCTGCACCACACTAGAAAGAACTCAGACCAGCCCAGACCGGCCCAGACCAGCCCAGACCGGCCCAGACCGCCTGGGCTGAATGGTCAACATTGTGACACTGCATTTAAAAAGTGGGTGACTTCCAACCGGTTCTTTTTGTTTCTACAGTAAAACCATAACATTCAGCATCGGTTCGTCAGCCACTGAATCTGAGGCTGATGAAAAAGTTTCATACTTTGTGTGACCCACAAATCCTGACTGCTGGACCACACTCCATGGGTCTCCCACTTCACAGAATTGGTCAATACAGGCCCAGAAGAGGACGAGCTTAGACAGAGTTTGTCTGGAATGTGGCCCACATTTTTGAACACTCGTGAACAATATGTGGGCCATTAACAACACTTACCAATTCCTCTAGGTGGTCCAAATAAATAGTGTTGCTATGCTATGATATCCCAAGATAAGTCTGTGAGGGACAGCCACACATTGACTGAAATCTTTGACCCACATTCTGGATACCAGATGTGGGCCAAATGATAAACATATGACTCTTAACGGGTCAGATCAAGGTCTCTTTGTAGGAATCTGTTTCCCGATCGGTCCCAGGAACCGATGTTGAAGTTAAATTTAAGTTAAATTCAGTCTGTTTTAAACTTCACCGTCGTATCTCACGGAGCCTTCATAGACCTGATGACATCACTTCCTGTGCTCACCGGTGCATGTAAAGACGGATGAGGCCGGCCTGGTGCAGCTGCTGCCACAGCGTCATCTCCAAACGCATGTCATGGTTGGCGTAGAACACGACAGGGTGGTGGCTGCTGTCGTAATAATGGTCAGAGTACTTATTATAGTCGGGGGTCATGAAGCCGTAGGCGCTCACCTTTAACCACAGAGGAAACACAACAGTCAGTATCTGTTATTCACACGGCCGGGAAAAGGCTCAACAGTGACCCCCAATGGTTAGTCACAGAAAACTGGCTACAGGAGGATGATCGTGACTTTGGCTCGTCACACAGATTTTTATGGCCTTAGTTTTTTTTCTTAAACATAGTACTGTTGTACTTTGAGTTATTTATCAGACTAGTCTGTTGAAAATGTACAGTTTCAACAGAATTGTTTCTCCTACACCCAAAAAGGCAGTTTATAACAACTCCACTGCCACAGCACCACACAGTGGCCACAGGAGATTGTGAACCTTGATAAGGATTTATAGATAGTTTAGTAAACGTATTCCTGTATTGTGGTATTTTATTAGTATATCTTTCTTGGCCTTGGTTCTGTGAGCACATAGTGCCACCTTGTGATTACATGAAAGGATAACGGCATTTCTTGGGATCAGACTAGAGACGAGTCATGGTCATATGTTTCCGCTGATTCAACAATACATCTCCTGCTTTCTCATTTCCTCCGTTTCCTATTTCCTGTTCAGACTTGAACTCCTCGACCGGAGTTGTCAGTTTGCTTTACTGCTCCATGACTCAGAGGTTGATCAGCAGGTTTGGTTGGTGACACCAAAGTTCTGATCCTGTCACAGAAACTTAAAGATACACAGTGTGTTCTTCTCTGCACAGATCCCACGACTCACATTACTGGAACAGTAACTTTAACCTGGTTATGTTAAACCCAAACCTGGTAACTCTCCATCTTAACCCGAACTTGAATAGTAGTTAATCAGTTTTACTAAAGCTAAACTTAACCAATAAGATGGACATTAGAACAGGACATGGTTAACCTAAAGTTAAACTGAGCAAACTGTGGAATGGTTCTGTCAAAGTCAGGTAAAAACAGATCTGAACAGTTAGTGTTAGCTGGCTAAAGTTAACCTAGCCTAGCAGGGAGGATTAGCACAGGTTAGCTAATCAGAAACAGCAGTTTGACTATCGTAATCCTTAACTACAGTCAAGACTGTCAAAAGGAAACTGTAACCTAAACTACTGTTACCACTCTGTGTGGTGACTCAACATGTGGTAACCCTGACCATCAGAGTCAAGGCTGTTACCTGGTCACATGTGTGCAGTGCAGCCAACAGCATCACGGCGCCAGTGGAAGGACGATAGATGTCTTTGAGTTTGGTTTTTAAGGTGTTTGAGCGAATAAATCTGGAATAGAACACATGGTTGGAGGTGAGGTGAGGTGAGGTGAGGTGAAGAAAACTCTCCCGCCTGACTCTATTCCTTGTTTCCTGCCGACTCAGCCAGCGATGGATTTACCTGTTCCTGATGTAACGGATGAAGTCAGGATGGTACATCTTCAGCTTCTCAACAGATACGTCTTTACCAAAGATGTCGGTTGGACTGGAGGAGACAAAAGACGAGAGAGTCAGAGCCAGTGGGGGAGATGATGTGGGAAGAACTAGAGAGAGAACGTAATGTTTGGGACGAAGCTGTCAGTCAGACAGAAGATGTTCATCTTCTACAGCGTCTGATTGGTCGACAGGGCTGTAGATCATCAGTCTGTGACCAACTGAGCTTAAAACAAACACACACCTGTGAGGAGAGCAGCTATGATCACAGTGGCTGGCACTCTGACCCTCAAAGGTTGACAATCCTACAACCCACTGAGCCACTGCACTACCCCGAGGTCACTGACTCACTTTTTGTTGAACTCTGCTCCTCTCTCCACTAGAACGTGCATCGCCGCAGCCTTCATCATCAGGTAGTCCCGGTCGTGGTCGGGCAGGAAGATGTACCGTGTTTCCTGTTGGTGAAGAACATCAGAGGATGAATCTGATTCCCTTTTGTCATCTTTGTCGGCGTCGCCATCGTCATCCTGACCTTGGACAAAGGTGGTCTTCTGTAGCCGACCTTGGCGTAGCTTCTCAAAGAGTTCATCAAAGTGTTCACAGAGAAGGTGTAGTGGGTGGTCCGAGACCCCACGTCCTTCTCAAAGCCCTGAATGACGGCACCGTTGGTCCTGAAACATCGTCGACAAAGAACTTTATTAATTGTCCAGAAAATGGGTTTTGGTCAAAGACAGGAAGTCAGGAGTGAACCATTTCCTGTTTGGTTAAAAAAACATACTTTGAAAGGATAACAACAATGGGAATATGAAGGAAGGAAAGTGAACTCCTTGTCATTATGACACAGCTCACCACTGAACACAACCAAATGTGAGCTCTGCTTTAACCCATCACCAAAGTGAACAGTGGGCAGCTTTTTGAGCGCCCGGGGATGTGCCATGCTCAGAGCACCTCAGTGGTAACTGGGCAGCTGGTGGATTTGAACCTGCAACCTTTCGGACCTAAGTGCCCTTCCTTAACCTTCATGAGAATATATATGCAGCTGTTGACATCATAATCATCAGCAGGTGGCGCTGCTGTTATATGCTGTTATATGGTATTTTAAGAACCAATTTGTTCTTAAAATATATAGTATACTGTATATACATATATATATATACTGTATATACATACATACTGTATACATATGAATATTATATATTTTAAGAACTAACTGGTGCAGCTGTGCCGAGTGCAGGCCTCACCTGAAGACGTAGTGATGACTGTCGATCTCCGCCCCTTTCTTTGAACCCCTCAGGATTCCTCCGTTCCCCACGACAGCACAACGGATGCACCCGGACTGGTTCCCTCGACTGCTCCAGTCGTCAAACATCTGCCTGTTAGCAGAGGAGTTGAGCGCAGACAGACTCTCCAACAGTGCTGCATTCAGAGAAGAAGAACCGATAAGAACCCTCAAATCAGTAGAAGAAGCCGGCCGACGGAGCCGACAGAGGGGACTCAGTGAAAATGGAGAAACTCACAGTTGTAATCTATCACTGCCCAGCCGTGGGCTCCAGGGTACTGCCTCAGACGTTGGTACTGTTCTGGACTCACATGTTTGGCCCACTGTAGGACGGGTATGTCTTTCAGAAATCTGTCGCCAAAGTCAGTCTGAGACACCTTGCTGTGGAGGCTGTTGAGACAGTTCTGCAAGAACCAGAGCAGAAAGTCTTAGTTTCTAACAGTTAATCAATAACTATTAACATCTAATTTGACAACAAACACACACTTTTGTGCTCACTAGTGACTTCACCATGTTGTTCAGCGAGGTTTGGTCTGAATGGAAAACATCTAACACTTTCCAAAGATTTAAATTAAAAAAAAAAGAAACTCCTTTAAATCAAATAACAAAAAAAGTCAAAACAGAAAGGAAACTCCTTTAAATAAAATAACAAAAAAAGTCAAAACAGAAAGCTGAGAAAAACCCCGCTCTGTCCAAAAACAGGAAGGACAGAAGTCTCTCCAGTGTCTTTGAACCACAGACGTTACTTAATTAACAGACGTTTAAAAAATGCCGGTGTGTTTTCAAGGACTCTGGATTCACAACATGAACCAAGGTGATGATTAACACTTCCTGGTTCTGGATATGGTTAATGTGAGCCACGAAAACACACACACACACACACACACAAGAATGGAACAGTGTTCTGTGAACCCTCTGTTTCTGTCCCTGACTTCAACGATTGTCAGAATAAAAATAAAAAAAAATTCACCGTCAGCGGGACGCTGTCTTCACTCATGTAGGTATCTCCAATGTAGGCCGGTTCTGTTGGTCCAGGATTAACTATCACATTTGTAGACTTGGACGTGGGCTGTGTGACATTCAGGGCTTTGTCCTCTGTGGGTTCTTGTTTGGTGGGGTTTGGATGCACCGGTGTTTCAGAGGGAACCTTCAAGTCTGAGGTTCTGTTGTTCATGGGCTTCTGATATTCTTGGAAAACCTGGAAACTGCTGTGACAGCAGACACAACAACAGAGGAGACAATGAGACGGACATGTCTGAGCTCTGCAGTTAGCACACAGGCTACAACTCTACACTGGAGGAACAACAAACAAAACTAACAAGAACCACCTGGTCCCGTAGTCGGTCGCAGTTCTTGTTCTGCAGTAAGGGGGCGTCTCAGGAACGACACATCCCTGACTCAACAGTTCTAGTCCCTATGAGAACCGTAGGAGGACTGAACATCAGCACACTGCAGTGCTAAGGCAAGCACTTCTGCCCCGGTACAAAGTACCATATAATTAATAGCAATTTGCCCCAGCTGAGGCACTGGACCAGAGCTAATCTGACTTCTACACCACTCCTCGTCCACACCACTCCTCGTCCACACCACTCCTCGTCCACACCACTCCTCGTCCACACCACGCCTCGTCCACACCACTCCTCGTCCACACCACTCCTCGTCACCATGTGGCCCAGTCTATTGCTGAATGAACAAATGTCTAATGACCGGTTCTAAATACCCAAAGTATTCACACCTTTCTCACTCTCTCCTGTCTCCAGATACTGTGTATTATATTTGTTTTTCACTGTGTTACTGTGTAGTAAGATCTCAGTCTAAGTACAGTAAGTTAAACAAACCAGAGGTGGCGCTGTAGCCTGTGCTGGAAGTGAGAGAACAGTTTATTTTTTGATTGCATTATTACTGTACACAAATACCACATGAACTACAGTTCCGATCTCTATTAGCTTCAAAGGCTACGTTTTGAAACACACTATAGTTTGAAACAGGAGCAAAATAAACGGAGGTAATTAAGGTAATTAAAGTTAAATGGTAAGGTCATTAAAGGTAAGTTAATAAAAAATAAAAAGGCAAATGAGAAAAGAGCTGGTCTTCCTTCAGCTGACCTAAGGCCTACAGTATGTGAGGCAGTACTGCAGCAGTACTGCAGTACACACACCTACCATTAACTAGTAACTATACTGTAACCTGACCACTCGTATCATCAAACCCTAATGTCTGCCTCACTTCTCCGTGCCCCGTCTTTGTTCTCTCACCTCCATCCTCTCGAGTGTCAACGTGCACGCTCACTGCACGTGCACTGTTGGCAGGAGTCGTATGAAAAAGTCCAGTGGACGATGGATGGATGTGACACGTCACATGATGAATGGAGGTGAAACAGGGCTCACGCTAGTTGTTTCTATAAAATTTCAACTTGGTAGGGGCGCAACAGAGCCCAATAGAGTCCCAGATGTCACTGAGAAGTATACAGTAGCCAGACTGGAGCATTGTACTGTTCCCGGCAGTTTGAATCTACAGTAGGGCAGTAATTACTCTCGTGTGGCGTGGTTTACACTCTGCGCTAGCGTTGGTGCTAGTCCTGGTTTAGTTCACTGATGTGTGGGCTGGTGTCAGGCTGCAGCAAATCAAACTTTGGTCTTTTCCTTCTTTAGCTGCTTCTTTTTTTTCTTTTTCTCCTTCGCCTGCAGCTCTTGACCCCTGCCCTCAACTATGGACGGGTCTATTATTTCTGCGATGGAAGGCGGAGGGATGTAGGTTTTCTTGTTAGCGTCAGCCAGCACAAACGCATCCAACAAAGCTTGAGCAAACTGGCAAAGGTTCTTGTCATTGACGGCTTCTGGCGAGCGTAGAGAGGCGATGCTTAATGGCGGTTTCTTTTTAGATCGGGATCTGCCTGAGATGAGGGACAGGGTGTCGGAGGCCGTGAGGCTGTTCACAGAGGGAGGAAACGTCATAATAGGGGAGGAGTCGGTGGCTCCTGCAGTGGAAGGTATGGGGCAAAGGGCCGCAGCCATCCGTATCCTGTCCTGAGATATTGCTGAAATGCTGAAGACTTGTTCTGTCTCTGAGACTTCATCTCTGCCAAAGTCTGACACCACTGGAGAGACACTGCAGGTGTCCTTGAAGAACTCAGAGAAAATATCCGTTACATCTGGTGTAGAGGTGTCCTCCTCCATATCACCAACACCATCTGCCACCCTGTCCATCATAACTGGGGGGAAATCAAATATGGTGTCATAAGGTATTGCAATAGTGGTAGGTACAGAAAATAAAGGGGACGGGGTTTTCCAACTGTCCTCTGATCTGATAGAGTGGCTAGAGGACGATCTTGTCACCTGGACCATGACATCGTCCATACCTGCGGTCATGCCAGGCGTGTTTCTGTCGTTGGGTAAGGGGTTAGAGTCACCAAAGATAGGAGACGGTGTGGTCCAGCTGTCGTCTGACTTGGCAGAGTTGCTGGACGATGATTTCGTGTCACGCAGCGCAACATTCTCCATGGCTGAGGTGATTCTCAGTTTTGTGTCATCGGTGATAGTCGCCGCTGTATCCACCAATGAAACTGGAGTGGCCATTTTCCAGCTGTCCTGTGATTTGTCAGATAGGCTGGAGGACGATCTGGTCTCAGGGACATGGTCTACACTGGCCTCTGACACATACATAGAGTAGCTGCAGTTCTCCATAAACACCTCAGAGTAACCATCTTGACTGCTCACAGGAGTTCTCCTTTCATAAACAACACTATTCTCATCCACGTCAGAGGTTAATTCATTGAAAACAGGCAAAACCGTTCTCTTGTCCTCTTCCAATGTTTCTGATTGGATTAAGGAAAGTCTAGAGTAAGTGTCGTCAGCTTCATCATCGTCCATAGAAGCTGGGGGGGTACTGTAAGTGTCTTTGAAGGCATCAGAACAACTATCTGTCATCTCCGAGGGGAATGTTCCCATCTCACTTTCAGCAATCTCAATCTCTTTTAGAATGGCTGGCGTGATGTGAAGTATTGTGTCTTCACTCAGGGCTACAGTGGGATACACTGGAGAAGTGGGGGAGGGGGTCCTCCTGCTCTCCTGGGAGTAGCTGGAGTACGGCATTGAGTCTGGTACTTCATCTCTGCTGACTTCCGATGGAGGGGGAGAGATACTATATGGTTTTTCAAATGACTCAAAGTAAGGTTCCTCCACATCACAGCTGATCAAACCGTTCTCACTGACGTCCGTCTGACCCTTGACCACCACGGCTGGGCTGATACCATGGAGGGCATCGACAGTTCTGGGTAGACTGGAAGGTAGGGTGGAGTCAGGGGAAGGTGTTCTCCTGTTCTCGTGGGATTTGATGGAGCAGCTGGAGGACACTGTGTCCTGAGGTATTTGGAAAACTTCAATGTCCTCTGGCACTGATGGAATGATTAGTTCACTGGTCTCAAAGATCTCAGAGCTGTACGTGAACTCCTGCAGAAACATCTCTTCTTCTGGTTCAGTGAAAGAATTCTGAGCTTCATCTAACGCAACTGAGAAGGACTCGGGAAACGATTCGGTACCTAGTTCTGCTAACGAAGACTGGATGGAAATTGGGGAAGGTGTTTTCCAGCTGTCCTGTGATGTCAGAAAGTGTCTGGACGAGAGGCTTATCCCTGAAACTCCCAGTTGGGCAGTGTCTTCTAACGAAAAAGAAGAGCTACTAAGACTTTCCCTGGAGATCTCAAAGTCAATTTCGGCCACATCAGGGGCAACTGTTGCCATGGCATTTTCATCAGCATCACTCAGGATGTCATCCATTAGATCTGAGGAGATCAACAACGTGCTATCAGATGTTGACAAAGCAGCAGAAAAGGCCGGAGCGGGAACTCTGTCTCCCTCAAAGACTGAAAAATCTGTGATGTCCTCTGGCAGAGTTGGTGAGATCCTGCAGGTTTGTTCAAAGAAGTTCCCAGAAGACTCAGTCAAGTCAGATGTGAAGCTAACTACCTCCCACTCAGCAGCAGGACTCTGTTCCACCTCCAAAATGATGGATGTTCCACCAAGTTGGACTTCGTCACCTCTTCCATCTTCAGGGGTGGGGCCAGGAGAAACAGGGGGAGGTGAAGGAGATCTCCAGGACGATGTTGTTTGTGGAACTCCAGAGTCAACACCATCATCTGACTCATCTGGTAAGAAGTCAACATCACATGAGTCCACAAACATCTCAGGGTAACTTCCCACCACATCAGAGGACGAGGCGTACTCCACCTCTTCAGGAACCTCACACTGAAGTCCTTCTAAACTGGGGACGTCGTCAGGTTCACAGTCAGCTGTTACTTCTGTACTCACAGGTACGAGGATGACAGGGGGCTGTGAGGACGGTCTTTCCTGGGCGTCCAAATCTCGGGTGTCCTCCGGCACAGCTGCGAAGACACTGCACATCTCCGTTATGGCCTCGGGGTAGATGTCTTTCTTTTTAGCTAAGGCAACTTCCACATCATTCACAGCAGCAGTATTTAGAACCTCACACAACGCCCCAGGAGTACGGCAGAGTGGACTGTCGCCATTGGTCTCTGTGGTGGTTAGATCGGTGGAGATGGGAAATGCTAGTCTGAAGTCAGGCTTTTCAAAATCCACACTGTCTTCTGACACAACTGAACCAATGTCCAAGGTTTTGTCAAAGAACTCCAACGAATCATCCGCCTCGTCTGAAGGGTCCGAGTCATCCACCGGAAACATCAGGGCTTGAGCAAAGCAGGAAAAGTTTTCTTCAGAATCCACATCGGTCGTTTGGTACGAATGAGGGACAGAAGACATGGTGTGGTAGCCTGAGGACAGTCTGGTGTCATCTTCCTCCTCCATGTCCTTGATCATTGAAGACGGCTCGTTTGCCATCAACTGTGTTTTATATTAAGCAGGTTTTTTTGTTTGTTTTATTATTTTTTTTGGTCTTGTGTGAGGAACTAATTTTTCTAAGATCCTATGGAGAACCTTTAAATTCAATCAATTCATTTACACATTGATTAAAACTGGGGGTAAGGCTTTGAAGATTAAAGGAGACTTAGCAGTGACATCATCAGTATCCAGCAATGACGACCCCACTCATCTTAACCTCGGGTCGTCAACGTAGAGAAACGTGATGACAAGGTTCCTGCCAATTGATGACATGAGACTTCTTTTCTCAAGGTTTCATTTGCACACACTTCTGACCCCTGCTGGTGAAGGTCTAAAAAAAGTAAAAATAACTAGAATAATTTTCCTTTAAACCTACTGGTCAATAGCGTGTGTTAGAAGTTAGAGTTTAACATATAGCTAATATAAAATCCTATGAATCCTCACATTTTAGCCTAAATTTTAAACCCAACAGCACCAGGGTTGGGACAAACAGGAACCGACAATGCACAGAACTGTACCTCGTCTGCCAACAACAAACTCAGAGTCATTCTGAGGCGTTGCCATTACATCAGTTTTCCAGTACACTTTTAAAAACTGCTGGAAACTCCTGCAAAAAATGACACTGTGGTGAATGTTGGTGGGAGAGGGTTTTTCAGGAGGTAATCGTCCATCCACTTTCACCTTCTCCACTACACAGTATACTGTATGTAAGTACAACAGCAAAAGAACATGTCCACAGAGTCAGTGTTCCAGAGGCTTTCCAGGGTAAATACGTACTGTGGATTTTTAAATGACACAGAGTTACAATTTAATGTCTAAAGATTCCATTTCTCCTCTGGAATCACTGTGCCTTTACAGCTGCAGTGTTAATAACAAGCTGTTCCATTTCAAATGCCTGTGGTGAAGACAAAAACCATGAACAGCCACGTCGCTCCTCCAAAGACATGAATACTATTTAAACCATAATTACACAACCAGAGGGGAAAGTTATGCTAACGACAGGACATTAAACACATCATATGATCCGAGGACTGGAGCGCTTGTCTGCTCAGACCTTTGGGTCAGTGCGAGTCTCAGCCACACCATCTGCTGCTGTCTTCAAAACTGACCACTTGAGGCAGCAGAGACCAGGTTGTGTGAGCTAATAAAACCCCACAGATTTTCTCTGTGGACTTTGGAGTATGTTGGATTTAAAGTTCAAATGTCTATCATATTTTAATATCCTGTATTTTACTTAACCTCATAAAATAGAAAAGAATAATAATTATTAACAATTGTTTTTTTAATCAATAACTAGACATTTCAGATGATATCAAACAACATTTTTTTCAACTCTTGTACTTAGGTGTTTTTTAAGCTGCTGCATTTAGCTTTAAATCAGTGACACAAAGCGGCCACACGGGGCAGCAGAAGACCAACAGTCCCTTCAAGTTGAAATGAGTGATTTTAAATGTAAGTCACCAACCTGCTCGTGTCCTGAATGAAGCCATGGAAATGTTTTCGCACCTCCTCTGGGTTTAAACAGAGAATGCAAAACAGCAAACAGGCAGCCATCAGCACTCCGAGAATGAATCGCCTCTTGGGTCCCTTCGCCATCATGAAGCGTGTGGCCCCACCCTCAACTCTTCCTGCAGAAACGTGAAGGCCGGGGAGAACGCTGACCCCTTCTGGAGACCTCCCAGTCTGTTTCTACTCGGGTCTGGGATTTCAACCTAGAGCAGGACCAGGATTTCAGTCAGGCTTCATGAAAAAAAAAAAAAAACAGGAGACAGGAGTTGGCCAGAGATTCAGACCAACTCTCCTCAGGAGGGAAACTGATATTTTGGTGTCAGCAAAGTCTTAAATAATTCCTTTAAGGGAAGACAGAAGTGTTCACAGATTTCATTTTAGACTATGACCTTTTGATCAAAGATCACACAGCTCAGCCAAACACCTGCACGTCTGGGTTCAGTTCTGGGCACGGTGGCTCTGATTGAGATGTTGATGTTGAATAATTTAGGAGAAAAGCTTAAAAGCTAAAAAAAAATTGAAGTTAGTTTCAGGTTGGCCAAAGAGAAAGCAATCATTGAGACAGGGAACAGCTGGAAGTGAACCCACAACCACAGACAACTAAAGCATCAGTCTCGTGGTTGTTACAATGTTGACATGTTTGTGCAGTTGTCCTACTGAGGTGTCCAGCTGTCAATCACAGGTCGTGTCTCTCTGTATGTTGGTGCCCTGTTGTTTTCTATTTTCCTCTAAACAGGATCAGAATTTCTGATGGTGAAGTCTGATCGACAGCAGGTCAGAAAACAGGACTGAAGGAACCTACACAGAGTTACTGCTGAGACCAACAGCTGGAGAAAAACTGAGTCCACTTCTTACTCACTGTCTACTGCCCGGCAGTGTCATCTGCAGCTGTTAGGAAACAGCGTACACACACACACACACACACACACACACACACACAGAGACAGACAGGCAAAGGAAGCTAGGACCGCTATCTAACTAACTCACTCTCCTGCTGAGTTCACACACTGATCTGAAGACACACACACACACACACACACTAACCTCTTCTCACCTCTGTGCGAAAAGTGGCTCAACCAGAGGCTGGGGACGGGAGAAGAAGAAGTCCTGAAGTTCTAAGGTCTGTGGGCTCCTTCAGTCCACCCTGAGGACAAAGTGTTCAGGCTGCAGACCGAGAAGAATGTGGTTCTGATGATAAACTGCTGCCTGATAACAGAGGCTGAGTCAACACTGGTGACCATGAGTTTGTCCTCCTTCAGCTTCCTCTCTACAGACTGTCAGGAAGAGGACGTCTTCACGAGGCAACAGGCACGACAGAAAAAAACACCCGTGACTCCTCACCAGAAGAAACTCCACCATGTTCTCAAGACTTTCTTCAAAAGTTCACAACCACACACTCTGTTGCTCATTTGGTGCCTGGGGGCGGGGCCTGAGAGGAATGAGCAACAGCTGCTGGCAGTTGGTTTACAGAGATAGATAGAGAGAGAGAGAGAGAGAGAGAGAGAAGGGGACGGTGTAAGGGGAGGGATTGAGAGTGAGAGCGAGAGAGAAAGGGCATAAAGACAGATAAGGCAGAGACAGAATGTAAGAGAGATAAAGAGTAGAAGATAAAGAGATTGTAAAAGTTAGATCATGGGTTAGACACAAACAGAAAGGAAGAAAGAAAGAAAGAAAGAAAAAATGCCTCAACCTCTCCTAGACATGGGGGCTAGAATCCACTCATCCATCTGTGAGACAGTAACTCCTCAAAGGCCTCACTGTCCTCAGAGTACAGAAAGGAAATACTCTGAAAGAGGAGACATGTTTTTTTACACACCAGCAGTTCCTGCTCTCATCTACAGGAAGTGAGTTCACTGGAGGATAGAAGAAGAAGAAGAAGAAGAAAAACCAAACTGGCACTTTAGTCTGAACCAGTAATTAAACCACCCTATCAATGGAGACGTATTCTGGGCTCCACCCCAGACCATAAGACAGCAGTGTATCCTGCTGTGATGTGATGTGATGTGTCTGTCAGTGAAGTGTCCACATCTGCTGTGTCGTCTCCTTGACTCCTGCTCATCCTTCTGGTTGAAGCCTTGATAAACCCTGCAGAGACAAAAGAATCAGAGGCAGTCTGAGTTACACAGCCTGGCACAAAAAGTCTGAACTTCTCCTTTAAAACCCCCCAAAAAGTAGGAGGTCTTGGATGATCAGCACCAAAAGGCCCCATTGTCTTCCAACACCGCAGTGTCATTCCAACGCCCCCACTGTCCCCAAGGACAGCGGTCCACACCCATCCATCCATCATCCATCCAAGCATCCGTCCCACTGAAGATTTCACAACCAGCTGAGCTGATCCCAGTGAACGTTCTGGAACCAAGACGGAACCGTTTACAGATCTGTGAATCAGAGATGTTTGAATTCACACCAGATATGAGGGCTGATGGGACATCAGGAGGGGGTGGGGCAGGGCGGGGCAGACACAAACACAGGCTCTGTCTGCTTTAATGACAGCCACACTTTTGATGGTTCTCAAACTATGGTACACACCCCATGTTGATCAAGGACTCCCTCTACAGCATCTGAAGGAGTTTGATTTTATTTTTATGTTGGTATTAATAATTATTAGTATTCTATTGTAGTAGTCTAATGACATACAGCCCATGTGGACCAGTCTGGGCTGCAGCTCAAAAACAGACAAAACAAAAAACTGGAGTTATTTTTCTTCAGAATGAAGCGAAAAGAGAAAGTAGAACGTCAAAGATAAGTGTGTGTTTATTCTCACAGATTAGTCAACGTCGTCTTCACAGCTCTAATGCCGTCACAATGAAAAAAAAAACAGTCAAAATATATAAAACTAGAATAAACACAAGACAAGAACACGGTGCGTTCAAGGTCTGCGCGTTTACACATCTTAAAATGGAAACTACTAATTAACAATGTCCGGTCACAGCTGCAACAGTGTGTACACAGAGGAACAAAGAGGATTGTGTGTTTGTGTGAGTAACAACACCAGGGTCATCTGAAGTCACAGTGACTGACACACACACACACACACACTCAGAATAAAGGTTTACTGGCACTGTCAGAACAAACAAATGTGTGTGAACTGCTCTCATTGAAGGCTTGTGTGCTGCCCACAGACTGTGATGCCTTCAGGTCCTCGATAAAACCACGATGCATTCAGGTCCCTAATTAGACTGATGTGTTCAGGTGTGCATTTAAAAAATATGATAATTTTAGCAACAATGTATTCAGATGTTGAGGTGAGTTAAGGCGTGTGTTTGGACTGTGCTGCATTCAGGTACCTGTTTTCAGGTATCCCATATGTGATGCAGACTTTTTAGTGTGTGACACATTTATGTGTTCGATGTTTGTTTCCAGTTTAAAGGAACACTTCAGTGTTTTCTCATCATTATTCCTTCATTACTTCATCTCCGTGGCCATCGTCATCTTCCTCATCTCTAACTTCATCTTCATCATCAGCTCCAGCTCAGTTCATTTTCACTCTGAGGTTGAAGTGCAGACCCTGCGTCACATCCTCATGTAAAGCCTTCAGTCGCTCTGGGACTGGAACAGTCGTCAGGTCAGAAATAACCCAACATACTTCACGTACACCATCTAATCATGGCACAGCTTTAACGTCTCAGCTCAGCTAAGTTACTAAAACTCTTCAAATTCTTTGACAAGAACAGGAAAGAAAAAACATAAATAAAAGTGGGTGTCCACATCAAGTTGCATGTCATAATCCCAGGCTTAGTTCCAGGTACTCCTCTTTCACCCCCCTCACCCCTCTACCACCACCACTGACCTCTGTGGAACTGGCCCACATGAAACCCTATCCACAAAGAGCGTCTGTGTGTCGGAGACGGTTTTTCATTCATAGCCAGAATCTTCATTCACAGTAAGGAGGAAGAGAATAAAAAAAAAAACCCACCCAGTGAACATGTCACTTGGTGGTATGCCCAGTAAGGTGCGTTCATGTGTCCCACGTTCCCTCAGACCCTACACCCCTCTGACCACCACTCTCTGTCTCTGCTTCACTTTCTTTTTCCCATCATCCATTAACGCGTCCATTAACAAGTCTTCCTGCCGTCAGTCCCTGGAGGACAGAACATGTGACGCCTCTGTGGACCGAAGAAATGTCACACAAGTGGGCTGTGACATGAGCTACTATTAATACAGTGATGGGCCGTGACCCAAGTGTGGATAGATTCCATGGTTGTGGGTCACTGGATCAGACCAGTTTGGTTCAGTTTTTCTGTTAAAAAGACAAACTGTCCAACTGCTGGACATGTCCCCCAGTTCAGGACAATCAGACTGGAGTGACCTGGACATGAAGGAAGACCTTCATGACCCCTAAATTAAACTTGGCCTCACATGATCTGACCATGTGACCCAGCTGTAGCTAATTCTGTGTTCTTCAAAGTCCAAACATCGGTTCTGTGCAGAGACACTCAGAGAACTGTTTTCTTCAGAACATAAACATCAGACGTCACACACTCTCTGCCTCCAGACCAAGAACTGAATCATTTCTATTTTTTTAACCACAAATTGGAACCACTTCTTATTTTCACCTGTCTGTGTTCCTTAGCATTAGTTCTAGCACTATTTTTTTCCTTAATTCTCAGCCCAACCAGAACTGTTTGCTCTGCAGATTCCAGTCTGCATAATAAGTTGCCCGATCTTTACAGTAATGTTTCTGTGAACAGGAACCTAAAGTTCCTGAAAGCTTTTGTCCATTAACACATCTCTGCAGGAGGTGTTTGCAATAAAACCATAAACCAGGAACCAGGAACCAGGTATAGTTCCCTGAAAACTGTTTTAGGTACTTAAAAAACCTTAGTGATTCCTGGTATCTAAAGGTCCTCGTACTTTGCAGCATTCCTTACTTTTAACCTCACTTCTTCCTTCTTCACGTTCTACAACCTTCGGCCCATACCAACCCCCCACCACCCCCCACCAATTAATCCTGTAACTCAGCCTTCAGGGCTGGGACCTGGTGGGAGGGTGGGTGAGGGTGGCTGAGGGACAGTGGGACTAAAGCCATGACTCAGCACAAACTAGGAGACATTTTGACCTCTGTGAATAAATCACTGCTCTTTACGCAGGCGATCAACTTCCTGTTGACAGGGGGAGACAAAAACCACCCGAGGGCCCATCATCTGGAAACATCTGGAACTGTTTTCTGTGGTGAACAGGGAGGTGTTCCTGTGAGGAGGTGAGGGGAGCTGAGTTCAATCCTCCTCTGGAAAACCAGGAGAAGATGAGGAATTGTTTGTATTTCCTTAGACCTTCCACCTGGTCTCTGGGATTTTAGGGAGGGAAATTCCAAAGCTGGGGGAGGGAAGAGGTGGAGGTGGGGATGTCGGGTGGTGGTGGGGAGGGCCCAGTATGTCTGTCTCCCCGTTGATGAGTTTCAGTCACATGTTCAACCCCTCTGAAGTTCCACAGGTTCAGTCTTGTCGAGAGGAATGACATTCCCAGGAAAAAAAAAAAAGGAAAAAAGGTCACATGTGAGGAGCGACACTTGATTACAGTGCTGAGTCTGGAAGTGGGGGTGGGCAGGAGGGAGGCCTGGAGGGGGAGAGTCCTGTCAGTCACTATTTCCCCAACAACTGCTTCCTTTGCTGATCCCACAGCGCCTCCAGGTGGTCAGCCCTTTTCAGAGCAGCCTATCATAGAAAGAGGAGGAAAAGGGTGGGGAGAGAGGGTGGGGAGAGACATGTGAGTCAACTACTGGTTTCTTACTCTGACATGTGTTAAAGGTCTGTGATTTTTACCTCGTACTGTTTCCGGAGGTTGGACACAGTTTCTTCCTTCTTCAGGATCGCAGACTTCACTCTGGGAAAACATTTTAAAAAAATCAGACGACAAAATGAAGAGTTCTGGAATACTTTGGAGCTAGAAAACAGTGCTGACACACTGATCCAGGTCCTCGCCCCTAGGGTTGAAACACACAGTTACATGAACTCTTCAAAGGTCCTACTGATTGTTCCTTGAACGAACTGTTTGATACTTTTTGTGTAGAATACTCAAAGTTCCTGGTTCATGGTGCTGGAACATCACACCGGACAGAACTTGACAACTGTTCCTGCAGTTAAAATGCGAAAGTTCCTGGTACCTTCGCTAGCTCCTGATACTGCAACCTTCACTGTGAAATACACAGAGCTGCTACAACTGCTCTGCTTCATCCAGAACTGTTCCTTGATTCTTGGACTATTTATTGTGGACCTGTACTTACAGCACAGCAGATACTGACACTGTTTTCGGTCCTTGGTACTAATTTTTGTGATGGAAACATAAACAATCCCTGGAACTGACACTAGTTCCTGTGATGAGAACAAAACTTTCCTCAGTCCCTGTAGAAAAATTGTGAGGTGCAGTACTGTTTCTGGTCTCTGGTACCAGGGTGTCCTCTCACCGTTGGTGGACTTCTGCCAGCTCCTCCTCCTTCTCTCTGGTGACCTTCTCCACCTCCAGTCGTAGCCTAGCTCTGACCTCTGACATCTCCACCTTCATCTTGCGGTTCTCCTCCTCCGTCATCACCAGGCGGTCAGCGAACTCCTGGCGGATCACCTCGGCCAGTGTGCGGCGCTCTTCCATCAGCTTGTCCCTGGTCTGGTGGAGTCAGTGTGTAAACATCAACATCTCCTGGTGGATGATGGTGTTCTGTGGTGTCTGTACCTGTGTGAGCTCCTGCGCCTCCTGCTGGTGCTGCCTCAGGCTGCTCTGGAGTCTGATCAGCTCCTCCTCCATCTCCAACTGCTGCTTCCTCAGCTCCTGCTGCTTCTCCACGGCCGCTCTCTCTGAACGCTCCTGCTCCTTCATCTCAGCTTCGTATTTTTCTCTCAAACGTTTCACTCTGAGAAATTGGAGACGGAACATTTACTGACTAAGCAGTTTTTTGTTTGTTTTGATCCTAAAATCAGAGAAAACTGTAGCAGGAGCAGGTCTCACCTGTTGTCTGCCGCCCTCTCACACTCCTCCTTGTCTTTACTGGTCTCCTCCTCCAGGGTCCAGATGGCCAACTCAATCTCTTTGTCCCGTTCCCGCCGCAGCTCGTCTTTGAGCTCCCGCTCGCGGCTCAGCAGCCAAGCTTCCTGTAAAAAGAAAAAAAATTTGAAACAATTGGATTCATTGATGTCAGACAGAAAACAGAGACACTGACAGACCGGACAAAAACAATACAAGACATTCTACTGACCGACCGTTCGGTCAGTCAGTTTAATATCCTGGAGGAAAATGGTTCCAATGTGCGTGATGCCTTCACTGTCCTACAAAAAAGTAAAGGCCAACAAACCTCCTTCTTCCTGTAGTTTTCCTCCCAGGTTTGCTTCTCCACTTCCAGACGTTCCTGCATGGACTTCATCTCCACCTGCTCACACAGACACCCACTCAGTGATTCAGACAGGTGGACGAAGCTACAGTTTTGACACATCAGTGATGACGTCAGCAATGACATCACTCCTCACCTGGTGCCTCTTCTCCTGCTCCTCCCGGCTTTTGTCCAGCTCCTCTCTGAGGGCACGTACAGCCACTGAGCTGTTCTCCTCCAGGTGCCGCCGCAGGTCCTCCCCCTCAGCCCGCTGCCTGGCCGCCAGCTGGGCCAGCCTCTCCTTCTCCTCAGCCACCTCCTGATAAAGACGCCTCCTCTGTTGTTGGAGGGAGAGCTCCTCCTCCTGGAATTGCTTGTCATACCTAGAACAATAAATAAATAAAAAAAATACACAGCGAATGAGATAAAAAAGAAGTAAATATCTCAAAGCCTGTTCTATAGCCCAGGTCTGGGTAATTAGATCTAAATTACAGCTAGAGAGTTCAAAATCCACAGGTTCAATAGTCCACGAGGAGCACTGTGGGTATTGTGGCGTGATCAATATTTAAATGAACTGAACCAGGAGATAAAAGTTGATCATGTGATCATGACACCTCTGTTTGGCGAGCTCCCTCTCTCTCTGACACTGCTCGTCCTTCTCCTTCTCCAGCTGCGCCCTCAGCTCCTCACACTGGCGGACAAAGCGCTGCGCCGCCCGGTCGTCCGCCTGCAGCAGCTCGGCCTCGTGCAACGTCCGCAGCTTCTTCAGCTCCGTCTTGTGTTTGGAGATGAGCTTTTGAATCTCTGGCTCCAGACCTGGAGTAAGTGAAGCAGAGCAGAGGAGACGTTGATTTCAGAAGATCTGATGACGTAACAACGCCACCCTGGGGTCAGGCTGTGACCACTTCTACCTTTCACTGTGATCTCTTTGATCTTCTTGGTTTTCTCGTCGATCCATTTCTCCCGACGCATTTTCTCCGTGGCGCTCATCAGGTCTTTGAGCTTTTTGATCTCCTGTAATTGGACAGAGGAAGGTAATGAGAGGAGGTGGGGGGTGGATGACATCATGGGGAAGGGAGGGGCATCTGTTAATCTTAAAGTTTAATCTTTGAACGTTCAGCCAAGATTCTTTTACATCTTAAATTTTGTTTTACTAAAACTTTTTTACTAGTACATTTTCCAGACAAGGTCTATTCGACCTTGTTAGACTAAAGGTGTAACAGGGCATCTGTTAATCCTAAAGTTTAATCTTTGAACGTTCAGCCAAGATTGTTTTACATCTTAAATTTTGTTTTACTAAAACTTTTTTACTAGTACATTTTCCAGACAATGTCTTTTCGACCTTGTTAGACTAAAGGTGTAACACAGTCCTATAGGCATCAAACCAGGTGTGCTGATTCTGGACCAACAGTGTCAAATGTTGTAAAAACTAAACCCAACACATAAATGGACCAAAGGTTCTTGTCTATGTTTGTTTTCAGTTTTCATTTGGATCCAGATTCCATTAGTCTGTGGTGAGGATGAATAAATGAGGTGGTTAGAATGATTCAAGAAACAAACATGAACCAGTCCTGGTGGAGATGATCAACATGCAGCTCCTCTGTCCTAACACACAGCACATGCAGACAGAGTAGCAGAGAGAAGGCGTGACGGTAAAAATGAAAAGGTGGAAAATGACGACCAAAGGCTGCAAGAAACTCTAAGTTACCTCACACAAAGGACCCAGGATTTGCCAAACCTGAATCCAGAATAAAAGAAAGAGTGAAGAGGAAAACATGGAGAGACAACGGTTAAACAAGAGCAGCGAAGAGAAAACGAAAAGTCAGAGCAGCCACAGGCACTAGGTCAAAGGTCAGGAGCAATTCAGACTGTTTAAAGGGAAACCCTGCTGAGGTTTGGAGGTGAAGACAGGACGAGTGAGGGCTCCTCACCATGTCATGCTGCTCCTGCATCTGTGCGATCTTCTTGGTGTACTTCTGGTCCACCTGCTTCAGCTCGGCCACCACTCCTTCACAGCGCTCGCTCAGAGCTTTCTTGTCAGAAATCAGCTGCAAAAAACGACATGGACTTTTTTATGGTCAGAGGAGAACGTCTGCTTTTTTAGTTTGAATGGGAAACAATGCTGACCTCCTGTGGTCAGTTTGTGTCACTGAGGTTCATGTGAGAAACTTTTAAAATGAAGAATCATTTCTGCTGGACTGTTTATCAGAGGTCAGCACCACAGAAGTCTTCAAGGACAGTTTTTACACCATTTGCCTTGTTTCTATTCAGAAGTTTGAATTTCTCAGAAGTTTGAAGATCAAACGTGGCTGTATCTGTCTGCAGCTACGTTTGATCTTCAAACTTCTGAGCTGACTATAAATCCTGGGAGTTTTTACTTTCACATTGTTCCAGCAGGGGGCAGTGAGTGTCCACATACCTGGTCAATGAAAGTCAGGTGTCTCTGGACGGTTGCTTCATATTGTTCCTTCTGCAGCTTGAAGTTTCTGTTCAGCTCCTTTTCCGTGTCCTTCACATGTCTCATTGTTAGCTCCCTCTGCTGGGCCTGATGTAGAAAAACAGTTACTGTCACAAACAGACACCTACAGCAGGGGTCGGGAACCTATGGGTTTTGATGGCTCTCAGAAAAAACCGAGCATTTCTTAAGACAGTAAGTAATAAATAATTCCGCTTATATATAAGTAATAAATTACAGAAATCATAGTGTTAAAATAATAAACAGAAAAATGCTTGTGTATTTGCAGCGTACTCTCTATTTGTGTTAAATAATGGCGGATTGGTAATTCAATTTATATTTCTGGCATGAAAAGTGTAAAAACAATGAAATTAATTACAGTACAGGTAATGATAAAATTTAAATAAACTGTATTCAGATGAAAAATAAATTATTGTATGGCTCTCACGGAAATACATAAAAAAAAAAGAAAAAAAAGTATGGTGTCCTCACCAGTGCGGCCTGGAGCATGTGGACTGTACGCTTCTTCTCCTCCAGCTCCATCTTGAGTCTCATCATGGAAGTGCTGATTTCTGCAGCGGTGGCTGAGGCGTGTTCCACTCCAGTCAGCTCCTCCTCTGACAGAACCCCCTGCAGGTGAAAGAGTCCATATTCATTGATTTTCAATATGGTCCGATGTGGTTCGGTGTGGAAATGACCCTGACCTCTCTGTGTGACCCTGAGGTCACTGAACGTGGTCTCTCCTGTTCAGACTTCTCCATCTCATCTAGGAAGCTCATGATGCTCTGCAGCTTTGCCTCCGAAAGAAGGGCGCCCCCATCTGGCAGTGCAGGGTGGAGACTCATCTGTCCGTGGCGCTCCAGGTTGTCCGTGGTCAAAGAGTTGGAGTCTCCGTCCTTGGTGGGAAGAATCCAGGTTCATAAAAATTCTGAGAAGGTTATGTTTTTTTTTTCTTCACTGCTGTGACGCAAATCCTCACCTCGTCTATCCAGGCGTACTTCTCCTTCTGCTGGATCATGGGCTGGCACAGCTGCTGTGGCTCCTGCTCCAGCAGCTTGAGTGTGTCCATCAACTCGTTGAAGATGGTTTTGGAGGAAGTTCCCGACCTCTGGTCCTCCACACTCACTGATCTCTGCAGGGGCTCCTGTACAACAGAAATAAAAAGATGGAGACCGTGGACGGAGACAGGAGAATGTCTTCCATCACTGATGATGGACAACTGTAGGTGAAGACAAACCTGGGAACAGTGAGAGCCTCTGTGATTGGATGATGCTGGAGAAATGGCTCTTAAACTGAGCTCTGAGACGTCAGCCACCAGGTTCTGACTGGTATCTGTGGAATCAGAAGAACTATTACCAACAGTTCCTGGTTCTCTCTCTGCACATGAGGAGAAACAGTTTTTCATTCTCACCTGTGTTCTTGGTTTTGAGATCGGACGGTGACTTCAGACTTTTCTTGGATCCAGAGTTTGGAATTCTTTTGCTTGGAGAGAACTTTGGTGGCTTTTTGTGAATGGCCGCTCCAGATGCATCTGGGACACGCTGGCCTTTTCTCTGCTGCTTGTCCTGGTAAACACCACCAGAGGGAGATCAAGAGATGATGGAGATCAAAGACACTTCCAAAGTGTCTGGACATTATTATTCTTTAATATACATTATTATTATTATTATTATGCAGATCCACAAGCAACAACTTCAAGCATTCCTGAACCTTTAAGACAACTTAGCTGGGGCTAAATTGTCCAGGATTTGTTCACTGGTCTCAAACCTTCTTCCAAATGACATTTCTTTCAAATACTGTTGACACATCACATGTTTACCTGGGTGACCATGAAAACTCTCTCTTTACAGGTCAGCTTCTGGTCATTCTCCTGGTGCTGCCGCTGCTCCACACAAACGTCTTCTTCTTTTCTGTCTTCATGCTCCTTCAGAAGATGGAAAATATTTATGAAGGCAGAGGGAGAGAAGATGTTAAAGTACGTGGATGAAAACGTTCTTTACCTGCGAGCAATGAGAACCTCTGCGGTTGGACAGAGCTGGAGAGACGGCCCTGAAGCTCAGCTCTCCCACGTCCGACACGAGGTTCAGGTTGGATTCTACTGAAAGGAAATACAGTATATCCAGTCAGTCACTGCCATAGAGTTAGTTTCTTCTAGAAACCATGCAGAATCCCACCCACTGCAAACCTGTGTTCTTGGCTTTGGCGGTCGGTGACACTGGGCTGTTGTTGCTCGGTGATGCAGACACTGAAACCCTGGGAGGTCTCCTCTGTCCAACCGCAACTGAGTGGACCTGGTTTTCAAGCTCCACATCAGCTGCACTCTGCACCTCTAAAACCAGCGGGGGGCGCTTCTGCTGCAGCTCCTGCATTACACCACCAGAGGGAGAGAAAAAAACTCTTTAAACTCTAGAACCTCCAGAGAGAGTTAAAGGAATTATTATGTTGTGTTCTTGATGGTTGGTTTCTTATGGTATGGTTGACTGTCCCTGAGTTTTGTTATTTTTTGCAGTAGAGGAGACCAGTTGGTCTCTGATCAGTGACTTCATGATGACACTCTGACTCGTGGACAGTGTTAAACATTACAATCCTTGAGGTAAAGGAAACCGGGGACAGTGACCTGTATGGCAACGAGGCGGGCCAGCCGAGCCTTCTCCTCGCGAATCCTTTTTCTGTCCTCGTCCCTTTTCTGACGCTGCTCCACCCGAAGCTCCTCCTCTGTTCTCTCCTCCCACTCCTACAAGAACAAAACACAAAAACACAGAAGATGAGGAGTTTGTAGAAAAGAGATGCAGAGTTCGACCTATATCTTAGTCTTTGGACTAAACTGTGACACGGTGACAGACGCCAACCTTTCTTTTACTGGTCAGGATCTGTTGAAGCGCTGCCTGGTTCGTGTTTCGTCTCTCGACATGCTGGCGGTACCAGCGCTGGATGGTGACGGCCGCCGTGTTCACCTGCTGAATGAACCTTCAGACCCAGAGGAGAACTTCAGTTAGACACTGACAGTGTTCAACAACAACAGGTGAACAGTGTTAAAGCACACGTCTGACCTTTCGGCCTCCTCCTCCGTCACCTCCCTCCTGGTGGACAGCACCGGGCTGCCGAGGGGCGTCGACGACAGACAATTGGTGTTTGATGTGGAAGTTGGCGAAGAGAAATTTTTTTGCGATTTGGTAACAGAACCATTTTCCATTTGAACCTCATCATTGGGCGTGGCTTTAAGAAGATTACTGAAACAAAGACCAGTCATTAGAACAAGAACCCACCAGAACCACGTGGTATCACAGACTGTACAGACTCACTTGAAGGACGGCTTCTGGTTGGAGCTCTTGGGGGTGAGGGGTTTCTCAGAGTAGTTGTTGTGAAGGATGGTTGTGACAGAGTTTCCCACCGCTGCCTTGTTGCTCCTGGAAGAACAAAGAGGTTCAAAAACCCAAAGTGGACCATCTAGGCTAATCCATAGAAATAATCAGGGTTTTGACAGAACCAAACTCCTGATCCTCAGTGTGAAAAGAACAAGAACCTGTTGTTGGCGGTGAAGTCTCTTCTTTTCAGAAAGGTCGGAGAATCAACGCTGCCACTGCTGCGTGGACTGGACTGTACAGGACCTGCTCTGGGCTGGTCATCCTGGTACAATATGAAGGGCGTTAGTAAAACCAACTTAGTTACATGAATAACTGCCAGTAATTCAAATCCTGATCAAAGTACCAGGATGTTCCAGGTGGTTCTGTCTGGTGAGGCCCTGCTGAGTCCGGCCAGTTTCTTTCGTCCATCTACACTGGAGTCAAACAGAGCCAGGTAGTCCTCACCCTGGGCCTGACTGAGGCCAGAACAAAAAACAGGGGTTAATCCTCAGAATAATAGATCAATTATTACCACCACTGCCTCAGAACTGCAGCAGACAAAGGTCAACCTGTTACACAGGGATTTAAGAGAACAACTACAGGCTACATGAACGAGAAGATGTTGGTTGTTGGTTCACGGTTCTGTTCAATTGAAGAGTGTTGAACACCGTAAGTGTGCCAAATCAGACATGCGGACGATCCACTGTGACGAACCCTGAAGGACCGAGCAGCAGCCCAGGAGTCTGCCTGTGTGGGTTAGGGTCAGTGACCCCCACAGGATGAAAAAGTCATTCTTATTCTTCAGTGAGCTGTGTGGAGGATCTTGGTCTGAGGTTGACTAAACTCCCTGACAGCTGCTGGGTTGGACCTGAGAGCAGCAGCTGTGCCTTCTGTTTAGAACCACTCTTTAATGGTTCCCATATAAGTACCCATGTACTTATACACACACACTTGTGCGTCGACCCTGTGGCCTGTCAATCATCATTCAAACAACCTGACACCATCATGGTGTACAGATGTAGGCTGACCTTCTGTCTGACTTCTGTGTCTGATGCTGGTGACGAGGGTGGGGGAGGGCCGTGAAAATCAATCCCACAATCTTCCTGTGGCAGCACATTCCAACACTGTTTTGCCGTGCAACAGAGTGATACATGCAGAGGGAGGGAGAGAGGAGAAAGTGGGAGGCAGCAAAGGGTGGCGGGGGACCCTAGTGAAAGGAGGCAGTGGGGGAATTTAAATGCCTCCACACTGTGTCCAGAGAGGCTCCAGGCCAAGGAAGGGAGGGAGACCGAGGGCCAGGGACCGGCAGCTGCCAGACAATAGAACCCAAGCGTGCACACTTTGGGGTAACCTGACCTCCAGAGGTCATAGCCACCCCCCAAACCAGGGACAATGGTGGGTGGCTGCAGTCGGTGTGCAGCCTCCCTCCACTCTTTATCATGCAGGAGTAAAGAAAGTGCTGCGTCCCATTGTCCCAGCAGCTGTAGCTGAAGGGCTGCCAGCTGTTGCTCAGTAAAGAGGAGGACAAATTCTTCCTGGTAACAGGACACCGTCTGACACACATTATCTACACCACTCACATTGTTTGATGGCATTTCCAAAAACACAGCCTTCAGCTTTTCAGAATCTTCTGTAAAGGTCACCGAGAGATAGAAGAGCTCTTCACATGAATCAGCACATACTGTACCAAGTGAAGTGAAGTCGGCCAATGTTACAGATAAGGAACCAGTTGAAAGGCTCTCAGCCACAGACAGTAGGGGAGTGTGTTACCAGCACTGTTACGTAAGCAAAGGTTTGTGTGTGTGTGTGTGTGTGTGTGAGTGTGAGTTCATACCTGAGACTAATGTTGTCCTGCTGATTAACATGAGTGGTGCTGTTGGACCTCCTTAGGTTCTTGACAGAGCGGGAGCTGCCAAAGCTAACATCACTCTGTGGATTAAAAATGTTTGGTTAAATGGGTTAAAGTCGACACAGAAATCCTCAGATTCATTTTCAATGACAGTACTACATTCTTATGTGCAGCCTGGTTTTAAAGTCAGAGTTAAAACACCTGCAGTGCAATCACGTACCATCGTGTTCCGTTTGCTTCTGCCATCGCCAGCCACAGACACAGACACTGAGCGAGAAAAACATTTCCCCGGTGAAGCGCTGCTCGGCCTTTTGGTCACTAAAAGCTGAGATCCTGACAAACTCAGGTCTAACGCTTCTTTGGAGACAAATGTTGGGATGGATGAGGGGCTTCGTGAAGCATGCATCCTAGAGAAAATAAAAATGGAAACAGAGTGGAGGCATGTTATTGGTAAAAGAAAAACCAACAACCCAAAAAGAAGAAGAAGAAGAACACAAATACTGCAATGATTTTAGGACTTAAACAAAAACAGAATACTTTTTTCTTTTGCTTCACAGCTGTACGACCAGCTAATGGTGCTATTGTCTAAGTTCAACCAGCCACCAACATTTGAAAATACACCAACATTTACAATTTATAACTTATTAATCAATTAGCAAATGGCCATGCATAAGGATAAGGATGGTTGATAATGTTTTAATAGTGTTATAACGTTACAATTGAGTCTGTTTACATCAGAGGCAGAACATAGGCCGTGTTTATTCTGCCACAGAGTAGTTTTGAAGAAAACTGAGAATTTAATATTTTTGACAAAATGTCAATGAAGAAGAGGAAGAATGGAAGGGAAACGTAGGTAACCAAGATGGAAAACCAAAACAAACACCTGAGGTGCGCAGTGTGTGTACAGCAGGTGTGTGTGTGTGTGTGTGTGTTAGCTGAGCACCGTTAGCTACACTCTGTTTGCCTGTGACATTTCCCAGGTGTTTAAAACATCATTAAAGGTAACGTCCTATTAATAAAACATTGGCGTGATGTTACAGTATTAATAACAGTGTTGTTACAGCGTTGTCACCGCCTGATGACGATATTACAGCTAAAACGACACGTTTAGTGAGAGTTGGATCAAATTATACTGTGTTCTTTAATCACAGCATTTGAACAGCAGCAGGCTAACTTAGCTCATTAGGCTAACGGTGCCACTTCAGTTTTCAAGATATAGCATAGATTAAGCAGCGGATGAGCAAAGCGTTAAAGTTCGTATTAATTAGCATCACAGGAAGACTTACTTCAATAGCTGGAAAACATCATCGACGCTCCTGAGTCTGGGTTTAACGACGCTGCTGTTCCTTCACTACCAACGCATAGACTTAAGCCCCACCCACGTGCTCTGCCATTGGTCGACTGGGATACATCTGCTTCGGCAGAAGCACCTCAGATCCCGCCCTTGTGTACTGTCATTGGCCAAATACACAGACGCTTCATTACCTACACAGCGGCCCCAACTTCCTGCTCCTTTAATAATCAAGCAGCAGCTTTGGCACGAGAACTCAGAAGCCACGCCCCCGCCTTAAGTCATTGGTCAGCTGATCTGCTCCTGCTTCGCTACAAGCCCACACAAAAATATACACACCCAGTAGCCCCGCCCCTCTGCCTTTGTCATTGGCCAACGGTCAAAACATGGGAAGATGCAAACAGATGGGAAGATGACATTTTCAGAAATGATAACTGTATAATTTAATTCGATACTAGAACGTTAAAAAACAAGAGGAAAATAGAAAAAAAAACCCAACTGTGATTATTATCTAAAAAAAAATCAGTTTACTAAAGCTATTAGTATTGATTAAACAAAACTGGTATAAAATGTGGTATTCCTAGTTTGTCTCTTCAAATAGGGTTGCTGTAAAATACTATGTTTTTAATTTTGGGAGTTCCCTTAACTGTGGTGTAGTATAAATACACCAATAGTAACAACTGGTATCATATGATACTGCTATGTCAATGATGCTCAGTGGCTGTTTCCAAAGAACCTGAAATCAACATGGGATTAATTTAACGGCCCATAGAAATGTTTTAGTCCCCACTGTGGTTTAGCCTACTTTTTAAAGAAAATATGTATTAACAAATCGGAAGCCATGTCATTTTCAAGAAAACATATGAAACTAGCAAGAAAAATACACTCTTAGCAGGAATATCTTTATTGAAGCTATATACTCTTTAATTTAAATATGATTTTTACATGGAACATGTGGAATCTGAGGGTCTATTTTTTTATTTTATTTCCCTTTGCATCCACTGCATACAAAAACTGACTGAGACGTCTGACTTTCTTTATGGGTTTTTGCAGCAGTCACAATCCTTTTGTTGCCTCTGGATATGTCACTATTCTCAGTTATGACCACAGCCATAATAAGGCATTTCTGACAAGTGTCTTATTTCATTCTTTCCACTGCTTCTTTATACATTGGTAAGCTAAGTGGTCTACCCACCCCAACCTACTGGGACCAAAGGATTTGGTTCCTTTGATGAGCCAAAGCCCTTTCATCCTCACAAACATACTAGATCAATGGGTGTGAAGGCAACAATGTAAAGTGGTACCTGCAGGAAACTGTTAGTGTTGAGTTAATATTTCTGCCTGAGATGGGCTGACAGTGAATGATAGGAGGCAACTCTAAGACATGTCTGCTGTATACTAGCGACAACTAAGGCAGTAATGAAGGTTACATCTGCCATAATAGACCAGGATACACTTTAAGGTGGAGGAGAAAATAATCAACCAAATCTCTGAAACGAAAAGAAATGAAAAAAAGGAAAGGAAAGAAAAGTTGGCAGTAATGCGACTTTACAATTGCCAACTATCAGCAAACACCAAAAAAAAAAAAAAAAATCAAGGACACACTAAAGCTCAAGAATTCCCAAACAAGTGAATATCAGAGTGAAGTGAAGTGTTTTACTGGTCATGTATTAGGTCACACGAGGGACTACAATGACACAACAACAAGAGAAAATGGCAAAGGAGGATAATGTTTCCCAGGACATGGATACGATTGGCGTCGTTCTCACAGACATCATTGAGCGCACAACCAGAGATGTCAATCACATGATGCAAATGGTTCACCACTGGAATTTAGAGGAATGTACATCGGGTGAGGAAAATAATGGTAAAAGCAACCTTGGCCCAGGCACACTAGAAAGGGTGGATGAGTATCTGGATGATTTTTTTTCAAGCAGGAGAGTGTTTACTGAAGAACAAGGTGGGGAGGTTCCACTAACCAGAGAGAATATCCAACACAAGGGGAACCAAAAGAAACAGAAGAGAGCAACATCAAAGGTGAAGAAGAGAAGAGCTTCACCTCTTTCCACCTCCACCAACACTACAGGAATGGTTGACGCCATGCAAAACTTCCTTCCAACTATGTTGACTGTGGTTCAGAATATTCCAGATCCCAATATAAGGAAAACCTGCCCCGATAAGGTCTCACAGAAAACTATCAGTTTATCTAAATCTGTCCTAAGCAATGCTGGAGATTCTCAAGTCAGCACAACAAAGCCATCAACCATCCATCCCAGGGCTCCACTGGACAAAAACACCTTCAATTTAGAAGACATTTCTGCAGAAATAACTAAAAACACCCAACTTTGCATCGCCTCCACAATGGAGTACATCATGGCCACCATGACAACCCCTGCAGAAGAGCAACCAAACCCCACTCTACCTGTTGCCGAGATGGTCATGAATCATAACCTTTCTGCCTTTGCTCAAGCTTTGTTGGATGGATTCATTAAAGCAGAAGGGGACATGAAAAGAGACATCCCTGACATGACACATATTTGCAATGAAGCTTTTAAAGAAACATGCACAAACACCCAAGCACTAATCGATGTTGGCAGAAATGACCAGGCTAAGGACAGAGGCCTTCTCTCTTCTGACACCTCCAGATTGCAAGAGATAAGAAACGTTAATGGAAACATCCAACCTGGAACAACAACTGCTGCAGAAAATAATGTGGATAGTGCATTTGTCGTAGTGACGGACACTTTAGCTGAGGTCGATAAGGAGTCTAGCACTGTCTCTTCAAATGTGTCTCTAGAAATGGATTTATTACAAGAGACTGAAACAGTTGATACAATTCTAACAGACATCGTCCAGCAGGCAAGCATAGATGTCATTCACATGATGCAGAGAGTCCATCGGTGGGATTATGAAGAGTCTCCCACGTCTGATGAGAAGGGGGATAAAAACGTTCTTGGCCCAGTAACCATGCAGAGGGTCGATAACTATATAGATCGTTTTTTTGCCAGGCGGAAGAGGTTTGGTCACGAGCATCGTTCAAAGTATCAGTTGGCAGAAGATTACAGTCCAGGAAAAAGAGAGCCCAAAAATACGAGGAGACAAGACAAAAGAAAAGTGGACAAGAAACGAGTGCCCCAGGAAACTTCTTCACATAGTAATGCTGAAATAGTTGAAGCCATTCGCAACTTCCTGCCTTCTATGCTGGACATTGTTAGGACCGGGCCTGCTAAAGCTAAGGTCAACAAGACAACTCAGAAACTAGTGACCTTTGATGGCACGAGGGACATCTCTTCAGCTGCAGCACTGGATGGCAGGAATTTGGATGTGACAAGCACAGCTGCCGGAGGCTCTGGAAGATCAGGTGAGAACATGTCTCTTCCAGTTTCCTCTCTAGAACCTTCTGAGAAACTAAATGATAATGAAAGACTTAACAACTCAGTTCAAACTCTGTTAGATCGGTTTAGAACGGGTGGTCCTGAAAAGGAAACAACCAAAGTTGACATAAAACAGATGCGTCTGGAGGACGCTGGCGCCTCCTGCAGTGATGCTGTTGATAATACAACTGATAATTCTCTAATGACCAGCAGAATTTTTCAAGTCCCTGAGAAAACACTATTTCCTACACACTCTTCTAGATCACTGAGTATCACAAGTTCAACTAATGAAACTAAAACTGTTCAATCTGCTCTTACAGACGTCATACACATGGTCCAAGACTGGGATTTAGACCAACGCCGCAAACCTGAAGAAATCAAAGATAAAAACACCCATGGTCCAGTCACACTACAGAAGGTAGATGACTATTTGGATTGTTATTTCTCAAAAAGAAGTACTTTGACTAAAGAAGAGGAGAGTCAGGAAGACACCAGACACAGAAAACGAACAAAAAAGCTAAATAAGACACTGAAAAAAGAGAAGAAGAAGATAACACCTCCCAAATACACTCTATGTAACACTACTGAAATTGTTGAAGCCATACGCAGCTTCCTTCCAGCAATGTTGGATGCGGTCCAGAGTACTCCCACTAAAAGCAAGGCAGCAGACAGCTGTTCTAAAACCTCTGAGGAACCCACAAGAACCAGTGGGACTCTGTCGAAGAACAGCAGAGACGGGGGCTCATCCCAGAAAAGAACCACCTCCAGATCAAAGATCAAGAGAACTCCTACAGCTGTTTCCCCTTTACATCCACCTGAGGGAGCTGCTGAGCTAAATGGCACATGTGGCAACTCTGTAGCAGTGTCACGGGTCAGCAAATCTGGAAATATGAACGTCACCTTCACTACCAGTAGTAGCTCTCCAACTGTCAGACAAAAATCTGGACTTTCAGCACTAGGTGGTGCTACCTATCCTGGCATCACAAGATCAATGCCAGATGGGGTGAGGGACAGGTGGTCAGAAGAACTTGAGGATACGTGTTCTATTTCTACAGCTACAACAGGGGAGACAGAGTCAATGGCAGACACTGGACCAATCAGCATCATTCTAACAGACATTATCCAGCGGGCTGGTAGAGATGTCAATGACTTGATGCACAAGTTCCACCACTGGGACGTCGAGGAATGTGGCGTGTCTGGGATGAAGGCGGATGAAGTTCCACTGGGTCCAGCTTCATTGGAGAAAGTCAATGACTATCTGGATTCCTTTTTTGCAAGCAAAGCAGTGCACACTGAAGAAAGGGCTCGGGAAGCATCAGACATCAGAGGTAGAGGACTTCCAAAAAAGTCAAGAGACCAAAAGCAGAAAAAACAAGTTCCCCTTGACTCTAATGCGTACACCACTGGAGAAATAGTTGACGCCGTGCGCAGCTTCCTTCCCTCCATGTTGGATGTGGTTCGAAATGCTCCTGTGAAGAACATGTTAGAAGACAGCAACTCTGAGGAGACCTGCATTGACTCTGTGGCTGTTATAAAGGACAGTGTTGGTGACGTCCCTTCACAAAGAACACTGTCCAGCTGCGCTACAAGATCAGTGGACAACAGGATACCATCTCCTCCTTTTCCTTCTCCCCCTCCCCCCGGGGAGTTAACAGGTGTCAGCATCACGTTAAGGACAACTGACATTCTTGATGAGTTTACGACTGCTGCCGTGACTGAGACAGAGGAAACATCCACCTTGGAAGCAATAGAGACTTCGTCTGAAGCTTTTGAGGAAACACACTATTTCCCTGAGACCAAATCGTCCCACAGACACTTGTCAAGGTCGAAGAAGAGCAAAACATGTAGCACGGTGGCGACTGTACAAACTGATAAAAATCTCTTCAGCTTTGCTCAGGCTTTGTTGGATGGCTTCATGAGAGCTGATCCCACCATTAAAATGCCCACTCCTGATGTCACGCAGATATGTTCAAAGGCCCTGCAAGAAGAACCCTACAAGACCTGTCCACCTCTGCCACAGGAAGAACCAAACGCCTGGTCCTCATCCACCCTCTCTACAACGTGTGGGGATAGTCCACAAACAACCTCTGTTTCTTTGGAACCAAGAGCAGCAGCATTAGGGGACACCACCCTGAAAGACACTAGCCCCGCCCCACTGGATGGAGTTAAGAATGACACTGTTAAAAACCAAAGTGAACTAGTTAACCTGGAGGAAACAGACAGTCGCGGTGAGACTGGTGAAGATGTTACTGAAGGATGTGAAGTCAGACCTTCTCCTGCTTCATGGTCCCCCACCACTGTGGCAGAAACAGACGACACTCCACCTGCTGTTGGTTTAAATATAGAGGGTGGAGTTTGTCATGACATACAGCCTACTGTGCCAAGAGATGTTGAACATGTTGTAGTGTCCAGCAGCTTCTGTTCTGGACCAGAGGCCAGCAGGAACTCCACGGTTCCTCCCACTCCTGTTCCTGCAACATTAACTGACGGCATCACTACATCCATCTGGGACGGAGATGTCACCGTCCCTGCTGAAGACCAGGTGGACACAGATGTCACTGACATTACAGACAGTTGCTGTGAGGCCTCTGTACAGACCAATCATATATGTGCAGATGGAGCAGGACACGTTGGAGATGAAGACCATGTAGATAGAATTACCTTGGACTGTACATTATCGCCCCCTGCTTTATCTTTACACACTGCTCAGATAGTAAATAATGACCACCTAATCAGTTTCACCCAGGCTCTGCTGGACGGGTTTATGACAGTGGAGTCTCAGACAGCAGCACCCACACCTGATGTGTCCCACATCTGCTCTATAGCAGTACACTGCTCCAAGCCTGAGCCACAGGGTGGCAACAACTCCATCGGTCCAGACACAAGACCACTGACCGAACATTCCGCCGTAGTCCGGCCTATTTCACCGCCCACTGAAGACATCCCAGCCAGTATCCCAACTGGAATCACTCCAGGTGAAAGGAGAAAAGATGAACATGACACCTTCACAGCCGAGGTGACAGGAAGTCAATCCTTGGTGTTTGATGAGACCTGTGGTCTCCCTCTCCCTGTGTCTGAGACCAGAGATGAGGATACAGTCCAGGTCATGAGACTGTCGCCTGGCCACTCCTGCAGGTCAGCTGAGAGAAGAAAGAAAACTCCAGAACACGTGTCCTTAGAAAGTAGAGAAACAGAATTTATAAATAAAACAACACTGTTCAGATCAAAGGGCAGAGGAACAACACAGACAACTGTTCCCAAACTACTAACCCCTGAAGAAGAGCTAGACATCTCAGTTATGAGGAACAGGGCTTCAAGTGCTGATCCTCAAAATGAGAAAGACACATCCCACCATGAGGCTGATGACAGTTGCTTTGAGGCATTAAGTGATGCCACCGTTCCAGGAATTACCCCAGCTATGTTAGGTAGGGTCCCAAGGACTGCTGACGACAAAGACGTTGAGACCTTCAAACCTAAGGTAGAAGAGCTTTATCTAGGAACATATGAAGAGACCTGTGTTGTACCAGAAGACACTGGACCTTATGAAAGTCCAGCTAAAAGATCACCCTCTACCACTGGTCTACAAGGCAGCATCCAATCCTTGGATTTCTCCACATCAACCACAGCTGAAAAGGAGGAGATCTCCATCAGTGATGTAGCAGACAGTGGCTCTGAGTTGTTTCAGATGACCAGCATTATTTCCTCATCTATGTCCAAAGATAGTGAGGATAAAGAAATCCCTGAAGAAATACCATCGTCCAGACGGAGTACAAGATCAGAGGTGAGCAGACATTCTACCAGAGTAGACAGAACTAGGAGTTCCCAACCCTGCACCAGTCTTGATGTGGAGACCGTCACAGTCCCTGAGACGTATCATCTTTCTTCACACTCTGCTAGTGTAGAGAGAAACAGGAAAGATTGTTCTGCACCTCCTGCTAAGACCTTTGCTCAGCCTTTGTCAAGTGTCACCTCCTCTGCTGAGGCAGAGATGTGCTCTGGCTTTAAAGACACTGAAAGTGTGGTACTGTCAGAGCCTGGTGAAAATATCCAAGTCCCTGACAAAGAACCATCGTCCAGTCGTTCTGCCAGATCACAGGATGCCAGGAAATCTGTTTTTTCTGTACCAACCAATGCATCAGCCACTGACGACAGACTTCCATGCCTCACTCCTGCTATCTTTGAGGCCTCCTTATGCAGTTTTTCCCAAGCTGTCTTAAATGGGCTGCTGAAAGCTCTAGCCGAGACCGACGCGGAGACGATTGCTTCCGAGTCAGTTGTGGCGGACAGTTGTTCTCACACTTTTGACAGAATCATGACTCAAGTTGGTCTGGACAAGAATGTAGCCAAAAGTAAACCCAGGAAGGAACCCGGACCTTTTTCTTTGAGGCAAAGAAACAAAGTGCATCCACTTCCACTGGAAACTTGTAACCTATATTCCCAATCTTGTCCAAGGACATCATTCACCACAGAGGGCCGACTACTGTCGCCATGCCATGGTTTTCAGGAAAAAGACAAAAAGAAGTCCACATGGAGAAAGTTTTTCAATTTAAGGCATAGGAATAAGGTCCATTTGCAGCAACAGGAGTTTTCACAATCATATTCCCACTCTCTTCAACCCTTTTCCACAGAGGAACATGTTCCCTGTGAAGATAAAGTCAGTGAGATCCAGGACAAGGACAGTAAGCAGAGATCTGTGTGGAGACAGATTTTTGGTTTAAAGCCGAAGAACAAGATACATTCTCTACAAACATAGTTTTACAGAAGAAGATGAAAAAGGATTCCTGTCCCAGGAATCCCACTACAAAACCAGCTGTTGGAGACTGGTGACTTCCATCCACACACATCTACTGTCTTTAGAGAATAACCTTACATCACAAAACAAAACATGAATAAAAACAGAAAAAACCCAACTCAAAATATATTATTATATTTCAAAATATATAAACATCTTTGTTATTATTATTTATTGTTAATTCCCTTTTCAAGGAAGTGACATCAGTCCCAACAGCCTGGTTTGGTGTGTCTTTCAATATCTAACCACAATTCATCAACTAAAGGTTCTGATTTAATGTCTTTTCTTAATCTAATGTAAAATAATCAAAAGTGTTTTAATGTGTCCGGTGTAAAATCAAATAAAACCAAATAACGTTTTGGACTGAGAGCGTTTTGATTTCCTCTACATCCTCATGAGTGCACCCAATAATAATCAAATGACGTGCAAAATAGTTCAAAGTGCAGTTTATAAATTAATTATCTATAACCCACTTTAAGTATTTTCGTGCTACGGTCGCTATTTGATTCAGCATCAGACGAAACATGTTGCGTATGAAATAGTTTTGTATTCTTTCCTGTTCAGACCAACCCACTTATGTGACCACTTATGGCGCCCTCTTGTGGAATATTTTACTTTGTCCCGAATGCCAGCGTCTATATTACACTATACTACATTACATAAAAAATTAATAAACTATGTTTTACAAACATTTTTATTGTTATTATTTTACCTTAAACGCCCAGCTCCGCGGGTGTAAAGCTTAAACAGTTCTCCGCAACGAATGGTGTTTGGTCTCCGCTTCTTAAGTCTCCGCTTCCTGTGGTGCAGCGCTATTACTGTTCCGCCTAATTCAGGTCCGTCTGAAAATCCTTCCCCTCGATTTCTGTTTATGATATTTTTGTATCTTTTGTACAGTAAATTTAGTTTATTCAGTAAGGTAAACCCACCAAACAAACACATTTGAAACAGTATTGTTTACTAAACGTCATCTAACTTTCCATTTAGCATTTACACATGTAAATTAAAAATAAATAACTGGAAAAGACTTTCTTCATAGTATTGACCAATGCATTAACTTAATTCTAACTAACGTTGACTAACACTGAGGGGATAAACACGCACATATTCTTACTTATTTATTTTTAGTATTCAGACTCTTTTAGAATTAAACAACAACAATAACCCAATATTTTAAAAACAGTTCTAAACCTCAAAATGACCTTATGGCTTATGTTTAAGAATTTAAAAATCTTGATCATAATTCTGTCTTTTAAATAAACTTTAAAATATGTATCAAAAAAGCATAAAATAAACCTGTTTTTGCATTTCCTTTCAAACTCTTTTTTACATAAAATCAGTATTTTTTACTATTATCACAGAGGTGAAACGTCAGAACTTCTAAGTCTTTTATACAGCACAGCTGTGGCTGCTGTTCTGACGCACTAGTTAACTAACGTCAGTAGGGGGCGCACACAGCTCAGTCTTGAGTCGTCCTTGTGTCAGAACCACATTTAAAAAAAATATACCCTGATTTAAGGCAGTGTGAGCGCCCCCTTTTGTCACCCGAGGTCTCTGAAAAACATGTCCCAGTGGCTTATGGTTCTGTTCTCTCCGTAGACCTCGCAGAGCAAGAGTGAGCGTTTAAAAACCTCCAGACTCCTGTTGACTGGAGTCAATTCTGAGCAACAGGGGGCGCTGACAGTACTGACTTGGTGTTAGTACCTGACCAAAGGCTGAAGTGTCCCTCCAGCTGCAGGTTCCTCCAGTCTCTATTGTGAGGGGAAAAGAACCGTCCCAACACCTCTGATGATTGGTCGGCTGTGATTGTATTTTTTTTCTTTTAATTTTTAATCAAAGAAGGTAAAAACAGAAAATTTTATAAAATTCATACCTGAGCGGTCAACTCATCGACTCAATTTGATTGATTGATCGATTGTCTTGTTAGCTGCTGCACTAATTGGCTCCCAGAGGAGATGGAGAGCTGGAGGGTGGGGCCTTTCCTCACCTCTGTATTTTCTTCACGATCACCTTATTCCCTTTATCCTCTGACCACTGCAGCACGCAAACTACACACACACACACACACAAACACACACACACACAGCAGCAGGTAAGACTCTAGTTTTGTAGTTAAACCTAGTTGCTATGGTGATGTAGCTAGACCGCCATGGCAACAGCAGTGCTGGGATTTGGACAGAGACGTGTTTCTTCATCGTGCTTCCCATCTTATTTGAAACAAGCTGAGGCTTGATTTGTATTTTTCAACTTTTCACTGTGCTGCATATTTCTTATTTATTTTAAAGTGCTTGAGTGCTTGAGTGGCATCAACCTGTTGTTGGTGGTCCTTCCCCCTCAGAGTCTTATCGTCCTCATATATTCACTGCTTAGACTAAAGAAAAAACAGTAAAGTCAGTGGACCGTCCAGCGTCATTGGATGGTTCAAACACACGGCCTCGTCCTCACGTGCTTCTCACTCAGATTAGCACGCTGACTTTAAGAAAAAGCCATTTCCTGTCAAAACATAAGGACGACACCACTCTAGATCCTCAGACATCGTCTGGGTCTGAATCATCGTAAACTTTGGTATAAGCAAATCACTACAGAATATTACTTCATTTGCATGAATCATGTTAGTGGGCAGAGCATGCAACTACAGCTTTTAAAGCTACTCCAGAACCGTTCAATCCAAACAGTTCTAAAACAGGTGGCCCAACATGTTTCAAACAGTCCAGGAGACCGGCCCCCTGCTGGTCGAAAGTTTTGTCTGCTGATTATTGTGGATCTTGCACTTTTCATTTTTTGTGTAATAACTGGACAATGTGTAAAACTGTTCTATCTGCTGTCATTAATTTAGGGCAATACTTATACTGTAGTAAATATGTATTATTTACACTCATGTTGATGTTGAATCCAGAACTCCTCAAGTGTCCTGCTCCTCAAGTGTCCGTGTATCCATGTGTTGAAGATCACATCTACTGAGTACTAAGCTGCAAAGTTCTTTCAGGCCGAATTAGTGCTAGGTCACAAGTTAAAATGAAGGGAGTACAACAGATACAAAGTAACGAAACGAGTTGATAAGATTCATCAGAAACTTAAATATCACAGTTCCATCTGAAGCTTCACTCTGTGTGTGTGTGTGTGTGTATCCATGTGTAAAATTAAACCTTCAGTTTATAAAAACAAACCAATATGAATGGGATGACGTCTGTTGTTCAACCTTCATTCTGACGCAGTGAATCGTGGAGAGTTTCCAGCCACTCATTAAACCTCCTGCCAGAGGAGAATTACAGGGGGTGGAGTTTACCAGCCACAACACACTGTGAGTTTCAACAGCATTTTTTTTATTACATGCCGTCTCACTGTCCTGGACTGGACTTTACATCAGTGCCAGGTTAGCTTAGCTTTTAAACTTTTCAATGGCAAAAACTAACCTAGTCTTTACTCACACAACTGAGTAAATATGAATCTATTTTACCAGGGTGTTAGCGGTGTTAGCTTGGCCGAGCCTGGGTGAAGACTCTCAAGGTAAAATGCTACATACTAGCACACAGCTGCTGCTATGTATGTGGTAGAACACTGGTACACACCTGTGATTGGGAGCTTTAGTTGGTGCAGAGAATCCAGCATCAAACCACTGACCTTGGGTCAGATCCACATTCTGGACACTCTCATCCACGGACTCAGGTTAAAAAAGGTGTTAGAACTTTTACTTCCACAGTGTTAATTTTGAAAATGAACATGGGGAAAAATGTTTCTTCATTTCTTTGTTATTACTGTGTACAGAGTGTGAATATGAGATGAGTTCAGTGTGGAGGAGAAAACAGCTTCTGGTTAAATTCATTTCGAACCTGTGGTTTCTTCATTACAGCGGAAAACGTTTCCCCCCCCAGTTTTAATAAACAGACAGAGTTAAAGCCAAACTTTTCTGCAGTGTGCACGTGCTTCTCCACACGCAGGTCGGTGAACATGCTCTGACGGTGGTCTCGTCTTGTCTTGACCCAACGATGCTCGGGAGTCATGTTTGGATTTTCTGCGCAGCCCAGAATCGACGTCTTCAGAGTTCCGGTCAGAGCCTAGGAGACGTCAGCTAGCACACACCAAGACGGGTTCTGGCTAATCGGTTCTCAGACAAACAGTTCCACATTAGCATAACAGCGTCTTTACCAAAGCGGGGGGAATGAATTTACATGAGTGCAGCGTTAAAAATACATGAACCTCAGAGCAGATAAACACAAACACGGGAAGAAGACACAAAGAAAAGTTTTGATGTTTGTTGATGGAAAAATGAAACTCGTACTGTTGATCAGAGTTTTATAGACCTGGACAAAAACACAGAGAAAACATTTAGTTTCTCCACAACAGTTTCATCTGTCCCAAGTTTAAAGGCCAGTTAACTGTGGACCACTTCAACTGGACTGAATAAGAAAGAGAATCTTTTCAACATGAAGCATCGTGTTCGTGTTGACGTGTCAGTGAACGCAGCAGCTTTTCCTGTCGTGTCGTTTAAGATGCTTCTTTTCAGCGTAACGACAGCCGTCTCTGATAAAGCTGTTACCTCTCACATCGCTGCCCCTGGTGTTCAGGTGTGGAGCTGCGCTGCGGAAGCAGCATATGGCCTGTCTGTGTGTATATGTGTGTGTGAGTGTAGCTTCTTCATTTTCCAGAACACACCAGCACGTCCTTGACTTCTTCTGCTGCAAAAAAGTGAGCATTGAATCATGTTCTCAGTAGAGCTGGTCTGCAGATGTTTATTGACTTTCACTGTGATCTCCTGTAATCTCTCCCTGTGTCTCTGCTGCTGCTGCTGCATCTGTGACGTGAACCTGGACCAGAACCAGAACCTGAGTCAGTTTAATCATCACTGACAGCTAATGAGGAAAAACTGCAGTCAGTCTAATCACACTGGACTGCAGGACCCTGTCTGTGTGAGTGTGTGTGTGTCACTTGATGTGATAACATGCAGCTCCCCTGGTGGTGGTTTTGCTGTTGGACAACATATGGAACGGTTTATTCATTAAAGCAGGTGCAGACAGGAAGTAGCCCAGTCACTCCTGCTCCATTATTCCTGCAGAGAACATAGAGGGATGAAGAGAGAGAGAGAGGGAGGGAGGGAGAGATAGAGAGGTAGAACACGGCATCGTCTCCTATTCATTTGTCTCAGCTTTAGTGTGTGTTTTCCTCTAAATGGGATCATAAATTCTAACAGTGACATTAAGTTTGGGAACCACAGTTCTAGTCTGAGTTATTTAAATATTATTCTTCACGTAATCATTGATTTTTTCCAAGTTCCTACACAGTATGTTTTTAGAACTGTCTCAGACTTTACCTCTTGCTGAATGAGCTCTGTTTGTTTGCGTTAATGTGACATCACCTCTCACTGGGGCAGTAAACTACACTGTTGGGGGCAGGTTCTGCCTCAGGGCAGATGTACCTTTGAATCTGGAGGCTTCAGCTTCACAGGAAGAAAAAAAAATCCCTTCATCTCTGAGGGAAAACAGCTTACGAGTGAAAGAAGAGAATGAACTGTCGAGGGAAAAAATGAAGAAAAATAACAGAGACGAGGGAGAGAGAGAGGGAGAGAGAGAGAGAGGGAGAGAAAATTAGTGTTGAAAGTGTGTTTTGATCAGATAACTGTTAAAACTGTTCTCTGCTGCTGCTGCTGCTGCTGCTGCTTTCAGATGTCTCTTCACATTTACATCACATTACATGAAGTGCTGACTGGGGAAGTGAACCAGACCCATTATTATTATGGAGCCTCCATATTTCCTGACACTGACTTTAAA